AGGGAAAGATCACCTTCATGTGAAAGGTAACCAAGTTCATCTGTTGCTAGGAGACGGGATGTGAGCTGTAGATGTCAAAGTCAGATGCTTTGAACAGCCATCACATGAGTCTTTAGTTGAACCAAAGTGGTCCGCCTTCAAGACCGTCAATGAATCAGAGTTGTTACATGCACTTAAGTGCATGGTTCAAGGTTACAGTGAGCTTTCTCCAGTGAGCTGATTGTTTAACTGTCAATGAAATGAGAAACCTGGTTTATGTACTGCATGACAAAAGGCTACAGACAGGTAAAACTTAAAATAAGTTCAGTTAAACTTATAAGTAATACGTTTTCATTACTGAACATACAACTGTTAAATTACTGGTTACTGGTTACTTAAGTGCACGCAAACAGACTGACTGTGATGTCACAGGCCAGATGTAGGTATAAATAAATACTAAGTGGACTTTAGCAATCATGACATAAAAACCGTGTATGAGAGCAACTCTGCATTTTTTTTACCTTTATAACAATAACAAAAGCAGTGCAAAAACATAAACACAGAATAATACCAGTAAAAACCAGGAAAAGCAGTTGTGAATTCATTAATTACTTATTTATTAAGAGCAAATTGTGACCGCCTTTTAAGACTTTTGGTGCCCTCAAGTTTGTCGTTTTTACAACAACAAAAAAATCTTTGAAAACCCCCACTGATGTGGTATTTACGCTTTTGTGCACAGAAATCTCGTCATAGCTCTGATTTCAAGAGTTGTAAAGTACACCATTTCTTTTTTTAGAACTGTTGAGCCAATGAAAATCACTTTAACAACTAGCATTTTTCTCCTCCACATACCCACACAAGATATTTGGGGTTCACTGTTTTGCTCAAGCACACCTCAACATGTGGACAGAAAGAGCTGGGAATCAAATCACCAAACCTAAAATTACTGAGCAGCCCACTCAAACTGAGCTACAGCTGCTTTTTCCTGGTATGACAATAAAATGCAGAAAATACAAAATCATTCACCATTTTTTGAAAAGAAAACATATTATATTATATATATTTATTTATCAGTGTTGTTATGACTTAAACTACATGAAAGCCAAGTACATTTTTAACTTGGGACTTCCCACATCAAAATATAACCTCACAAGTTGTATAAGACCATCATGTATAATATATGTGTATATAATACCTGGTTTTCTACTGAGTGTAAACATACTATAGGTAATTTTACAGCCACATCATGCATGTGTGTCTGACTGCATGTGCATGAGACCAAAAAAGAGGACCTCCTCATAATATAACTACTGCAAAGCAGAGCTGCTAGAGGTCAAAAACTTAAGTTACTTAGGAAGTCTACCAAACCTACTGAACACACAAAACAAGGTAATTGGTCTTACACTAAAAAATCATCAAAAGTCTGGAAACCATCCGTCTTGGTGTGAAAGATTCTGTCAATAACTTACAACAGTTACAAGTTTATTTTAAAGGCAACCATGCAGCAATGGCCCTACACTATATTGTTGTCAAGGAAAATGGGACAAATTGTACTGCATCCAGCTCGAGCTCTACGTCTAAATCAGATTAAAGCAGTAAGACTCAAGAACTGTTATGCTATGAAATACTCAAGTGTGTGTACAAGATTCAAGGTTTTACTGATACAGGTGAACATGAACCACACTCTCTATCAATCTCTGTGCAAGCTATGAAACAAAATGGTCTTTTTTTTTATAATTCCACTTGGCTGAGCCCACTGCGACCCAGCTGTGCTTCACCCCCTCAATCCCTCCAACGCTCAGAGCTCACCCCTATATCTCATCATTCTGTAATAGACGAGTTTGGGGGTGGTGGCCCTCCAGCGACAGTGAGCACTCGCACCCAAGATGAGAACTGGTCAAAAGCGATCAGTGAGAAACAATACGCCTGAGGCTGAGAGTTCGAGATAGGCAGACAATAGTTTGATGGTTTGAAAATCAATCAGCATGTCTGTGAAAGAAGGGCAATTTGTTATCTGGAAAGGAGCCAAAATGTTAAATAAACTGGTGGCAGTGTGGGATGCATTTGGATCTGCATTTAGCTGTCTGAATACACATACTCGATTTCAGCAACAACTTTCTTATTTTTTCAGTGACACACCTGCCCAGTACAACCACAGTCTCCTGCTCCAGGCCACTGATCAGCTTCACTTGAACAGCTGCAGATCAAGTGACTGGCTAAAGGGCCCCTCGGCAGTACTTGTAGCAGGAGGAAGCAATATGTTGTTCAATTTCACCTGGGATCCAGTATTTCTCTTCCACAACAAAAGCGAGTGTGTAAGTGTTGCTGATATGTACTTTTAAAGGTTGAGATTTCAGGTACCCAATATGGAAGATTTTTTGAGTCACTAATAAAAGTTCAAGCACCCTTGTTTCCCTCAGAACAAATAATATTAATTAAAGACTACCAGCTTCTTAAAGGCTAATTCATTTTCCCCCACCCTATTTTGATAATAGAAATGTCCCAATGGAGCTTTAGAGACTCCTGTTAGCCTCCAGTTTACTGGGGTCACTGCTGTCCAGCTCACATAAAGGGCCCAATGTCCATCAGAAAAGTAAGTAATACTTGTTGCTTCGGGATATTCAATTCAATTCAATTCAATTCAATTCAATTCAATTCAAATTTATTTGTATAGCGCCAATTCATAACATAAGTTATCTCAGGACACTTTTCAAATAGAGCAGGTCTAGACCAAACTCTTTATATATATATCTATATATTACAACCTACTTTCAAACCCTTAAATAGCCACAATTTAAGAATTATAAGGCTTCTGTTTATTACAACACATTTTTGTCATTTATCTCAAAAGTATATTTATCATGTCTGTATTGCAACTTTGGTCATCATAGGTAAATTCGATACATCTGTTGTAAGACTATCTGCTTATGTATGAGATATACTGTATGAGATATACTGGTCTAGCTTTGGTTTAAGGTTGTAGGAAGTCCTTTTCTCTACGCTGCATTGTGGGGTTCCTCAGGGTTCAGTGCTTGGCCCGATTTTATTTACCATTTACATGCTGCCATTAGGATATCTCATTAGTTTACACAAAATGAATTTCCATTTTTATGCAGACGACACCCAGATCTACCTCAGTCTCAACTAAACTCTAGAAAGACTGAGATTCTGCTTTTTGTAATGATTCATCCAACACTGAAATTATAAACATGCTAGGTTCATACTCCACTTGTATTACTTCACAGTGCAGAAAATTGTTCTTCTCGACAGCAACCTCTCATTGAACATCCATATCAAATCTGTCACACAGTCATGCTTCTTTCAACTAAGGAAAATCAGCTAAATGAAGCCATTTCTCTCTACCAAAAATCTGGAAACAGTCATTCATGCTTTTATTTCATCTTGCCTAGATTACTGCAAGTCACTTTTCTCTGTCAGCAAAAAGTCTCTACTGCTGATTCAAAATGCAGCCGGCAGGATTTTAACAGGTACCAGCAAACAAGAACACATTACACCAATCCTTTCATCTGCATCTGCACTGGCCGCCTGTTAGTTTTAGAGTAGATTTTAAAAATGTAATTATCACTTTTAAGGCACGAAATGGGCTGGCCCCAAGCTATATCTTGGACCTTTTAATCCCACATATGCTTCCATGGGTCCTGAGGTCCTCAAATGCAGCTCTCCTGTTGTTCCCCAAAACAAGATTAAAAAACACACTTTTAGTGTGGTAGAGCTGAGTCCTTGCTGCAGTGGCCCAGGGTTTGAATCCAACCTGTGGCCCTTTGCTCCGTGTCATCCCCTCTCTCTCTGCCCCCCTTTCCGGTCTTTCTTCAGCTGTCACTATCATATAAAGGCAATAAAAGCCCCCCAAAATACTTATGCTATATACTATATATATACTAAAAAACAACGCATTTTTAGTCTTGCCTTCCTGTGACTCTTTTTACTACCCTTTACTCACTGTGGCTTTATTTTTATTTATTTTTTTATTATTGTTTTATCTTTAATTATTGCTATGTTTTACAGTGTTTATTGTCTTACTGATGCTGCTATGGTTCCTAGTGCTCTGTTGTTTGGGTTGTTTTTATCCTGTAGAAGCACTTTGTAAACCCATTTTTGAAATGTGCTATATAAATAAAGTTTATTAATATTATTATTCTTTGCTCCTATTAGGGTTGAATTGAGTATCCAAGCATAACTTTTATAAAACTCAGTAAAAAGAATTCTCCAAGAAAAAGGACGTGGGCAAACAATATTATATATTTAACAATTACAAGTCTAACAACACACTAATGTAAATAAATGCTTTGTTCTAACCCTTTAAATTCAATCAGATACATATTATAAATAGTGTGATTGTTCTCAATATAAAAAAGTGATCTCAACTGTGCATGTTTGTCACCCCTGATACCGTCTCTCAAGGTAGGTCTACTTTAGTCATTTGGATTGTTTCCCATCAAGCACTTGAACAAAATGTAAAATCCACTGAGTTTTCCTCGTCCAGGCCACTGAATGTAACACGGTCAGTGGTAAATACACTGTAATGGTCACTGACCACATGGGGTTTAAATCACACATGTGGATATCTTAAGAGAAACTGTTGAAGTTTATTTATTTAAAGGATCTCTATCCTCATCATCTTCCTGTCAGTGGTGAAATGAGGCAGATCAAGATTGATATTGCATAATATTCCCCTGTAGATTGTCTGTCTAGTCTGCTTTAAGTTTTTTCCTTACATTCTTTATCCCTGTGATAGCCTAAATTATAATATATAATAGTAGCCTACTGTAATATTCCTATAGGATGTGGCGGTTTTGTTATTATAGCCTTTTTTATATATAAAAATCCCACAATGCTGTAGGCTAGCGTTGCAGGATTAACTTCAGCTTCTTTCATTAAATGCCAGCAGAACAGCACATAGCCTACTTTTAGTTACCATTCTTCTGTTTCAATTTTGATTTCTTCTTTTTCCTTATTTTTTTTTTCTAAGGATAACCTGCAGTTATGGAGTGAGACCTTACCTCTGACACACAGCAGGGACATCGCAGCGGGATTTTGTGCAACAGTTCCTCCAAAGCCGATGAGCCTTCAGTGAGTTTATATAGCCCAGTTGCCTGTTGCACATCAGTCATTTAGACTGCTCCTAAATATCGTTTACTTTCCGCTTCATCACACCTTGTCATAACAAAATGTGCAGATGTGAGCCAGGTGGACAATCCGGGGGGTACTGGGGGTTTAAAGGATGGCTGTCACTGGCAAAGACCGACTAACTACCGGCTGAAATCCGGTAGAGCGGGGCGGCTCTTATGTTGCGTTCACGGACTACGGTGATGGTAGGAATTTGGGATACTCAGCACACTCGTACGAACGTGCATTGTTTGTGGTAAAAAAAAAAAAAACAACGTTAGCTAGAGCTTTTAGTTTATGTTTTGTTTGTTTTTTTACTTACATTTTTGATAAAGTGTTTTTTCAGCTGCCCCCTTAGATTTTTCTCTTACCATTAAAAAAAACTTTTCAAGACAAATATAGTTTCCTCAACTTAGCAACATGAATTTGTCAAGAAAATCTTCAACATCAGAGAATTAAGTGAAATTCTGTTTAATTCATGCCTTAAACCACTATACTTGAAGCACAGTTTTTAATTTTTAATGTCAATCGTTCTTAAAGAAACTAGGGACAAGTAATCCTACAGAAACACAAGGCATCTATCATGGTTTCCAGACCATACATCTGAGGAAAATAAAAAAAATCCAGTTTTTATGTAGGTGCAAATGGCAAATTGACAAAAATCCAAGAAAAGTTATTGATCAATATGTGCCAGGTGAATTGTCACCTGACTGAGATTATTTTAAACTCATCTCAACAGAATGTGACATATGATTGCAAGGATTGTGATGAATAAGTAGGGATCATCAGCTGAGTAGGGCCAGAGAAAACATGTTTCCTGTAATAAAATTGATTTGTCACAGAATGTGGCCAAGGTTCCATAAAGCATTTATCCCAAGTTACCGGTAGTTCATTTTCAGAGTAGATGAAAGTGACAAGGGGAAACACTTTCTTCCCACCTCTGTTCCTTTGAGCTACAAGGAGGGAAAAACTAAAGCATGCTATGATAATATAAGCTGCAGTTTTGAACAGAAAAGAATGAGGTTCTTTAACATCTAATTGCTTTTCCTAAATTGTGAATATAGGTATTCTGACAGAGCATCCAGTATGAATATTAGATTATAATAGTACACAAAGTGGACCATTTCAGCTGGGGAAGCAGCATGTAAAATGTTTTGCTGTCAAGCCAGGTGAAATGTAGGCCTTGTAAAGTCTTACAATATACTTAGTGCATTCCCTTACTTGTAAAACGTTTGTAAAGATAAATATAAAAAAGGACCAGTGTGTAGGATTCAGTGGCATCTAGTGGTGAAGTTGCATATTACAACCATTTGATCAGACTTTCAATCATGTAGGAGAAACTACAGTGGCTATAAAGTACTATCTATAGCCAGTGTTTGTACATTCTGGGCTACCGTAGGAACTCCCTCTAGATAAAAAAGGCTTAGTTGAAAAGTAACAAAAACACAAGCTTCTCATCTGATTATACACAAAACAAACAACAAAAACCTATGAATATTCCTCTTAAATGTGACACAGGACCTTAAACATTTAAAAACTCAGCAGTCTTTGTCTTGTTGTTTTTTTTTTTTTTTTTTTGCAGACCCATAATGCAGGACTTCTGTTTGGGAGGGGCCTACCCTCCATTTCCTGATTTGTATGGTATTATACACGTCATGGCTAACATGGGCCAAACCTAGTGGAGGGACCTCTGTGGATGGGGGCTGCTGTAAGCTATAATATTTGCCTTCAGACAGCCTTTTACTTTGGCACTAACTGTAGAACTTCCATATCAATCCATAGGATCCATGTATGTTTCTCCAATTTGGGGTTGTGCTGACTCCTGAATTACTCAACCATTATAAGAACTCACCATGGTTTCAGAAAATGCTACTGTTTGGTCCATATGGGCTACAAGACCAGATTTGTGCCTGTCAACAAACTATCACAAGCAGCTGCATCTTTATTCATCATAGTGTAGTGATAACTAGAATGTATGATTAAAATTCCTCCAAAGCCGATGAGCCTTCAGTGAGTTTATATAGCCCAGTTGCCTGTTGCACATCAGTCATTTAGACTGCTCCTAAATATCGTTTACTTTCCGCTTCATCACACCTTGTCATAACAAAATGTGCAGATGTGAGCCAGGTGGACAATCCGGGGGGTACTGGGTGCCTGTCAACAAACTATCACAAGCAGCTGCATCTTTATTCATCATAGTGTAGTGATAACTAGAATGTATGATTAAAAAAAGGTACACATAAACTTCCTTCACAACTCAGTAATTTAGGCTTAACCATGGCTGTTTGAATAATATGAATAACTGTCAGGTAAAACAGCAGTCAAACACTGTCAGGTGATGAACTGAACAGAAATAAAAAGCTGACACAATTTCAATTAAAGCCCTTATTTGAACGTGTTTTATGATGAAACCAGCTCCATCTATGACTTGGCCCAAATTAGGTTTTTATTTTTTTAATTTATTTTGGCACTTGCACATCTTGCAATGCACATCATCTTCCCTCAGTATTTTATTTTTTCATAATTTGGCTAAGAGACATGGCTTTTTTTTAATCCTACAAATATGGTTGGTTTTAATTTGATTTACAATTACTAAAATGGTACCAGTTTATTTACTTGAATGAACACAGTCTCAGTCTTTCAAAAATTGACATTTTAAACAGTGTATTTTCATGATATGAAATGGTTCCGTGATGCATTGGTGGACACTGAACAATAAAGAGTAACTGACACTATTTTTAAACACCTGTGTATCACAATGAACCTTGTCCTAATTCTTTCAGCTGTTAACAATCAACAGATTGGTTTCCTACTGTTGCACCACTGTGGAAGGAAAACAAACGTTTGGTTGTATTGGGTCAGCTGAAGTCAGATAGAGGCATTTCAGTTTGCTTTTGAATTTATCTCTGGTGGAAGCAATGGGTATACTGCCCTCGCAGAGGGTAGTCCTAACCCACTGTTAGACAGTTAACAGACCATTGTAGTCCTCCCATAAAAACAAGGCGTAACTTTTCTTGTTAATTTAATAAGGAGCCACAATTATTCTTTATCTGTAAAAGGACAAATAGTGTCCAAGGCAACAATGCAAAAGATAACTGGAGCAGGAGAGGCAGGCCCATGTGCTCTCTGTCTTGGCTAGTTGCACCAAGAGAAATACCCTGCTCTGCAACTGTTGCTGCTTAAGTAACCAAAAGGGGGCACTGCAGTGCATGAAATAATATAATACTCAAACAAAAGACTACTCCCTGCCTGGCACAATACAATTGTACCACTAAAAGACATTAAATCAGATACAAACTTAAAAATCTTCCACTGTCCCTCAGACAAAAGGACAACCATGTCTGAGATTGGTCTCAAAAACAATTTCATAGTCCCTGCTTTGGCTGTCTTTACTGTTGCCTTGCGAACCTTGTTCGTCACTGCTAAGGTATGTCTTAATAACAAGTCCTACAGGCCAGTCGTTTCTGTGAAAGTAAAAGGCTGTCTAAAGGGAAATATTATAGCTTACAGCAGCCCCCATCCACAGAAGTCCCTCCACCAGGTTTGGCCCATGTTAGCCATGACGTGTATAATACCATACAAATCAGGAAATGGAGGGTAGGCCCCTCCCAAACAGAAGTCCTGCATTATGGGTCTGCAAAACAAAACACCACACAAACATTTAAACCTATAACATACTTACTTCTGTAGGTGCTATGGTAAACAGACAACGGCACCATTTATTGGTGCAGTAATTGTTTAAAGGGGCACGGCACAGTTGGTTGCAATTAATTTTGGCCATCAAAGACAACTTTAATATTAAAGTTCCTCAGGCAACTACCCTTAAGGAAAATAGCCAATAACTGATTCAGTCTCAATACAAATAAAATAAATCTGAAGTTCTGATTAGTAATTTAATAACTACAACCAAAATGACTTAATAGGAGTTCTGCATAGAAGGGGTTTGTATCATCCACTCTAGTGCAATGAGTTTGTTAGCATGCAAAGGTGTCTGTGTGAAGCATAATAGTTAACACCACCACAATGTTGTCTCAAAGACAGTTACAGAAGTAACCAAACATTAACCATAGCCAGATGACAATATAACCTGAAGTCATTTTGACCTACATGTACCGTAACAAAACATTAAGCAATCCTATGCTTAGCCGTGAATACTGTTAAATTATGTGAAACTACCCATGTCCGGTATGTTACCGAACTTGTGTGCTGCACCCACTTGCTGAGGGAAAACAAAAAAAGTTGTGGTTCCGTCATTCCGATTGCAGGTCAGAGAAAGCTGGTTTACTCTGTTGCTTTGTGGTGGTCCTGGAGTTTCACCCGTGTGGGCAAGCAAAGCGATGAAAGCCCAGGACTTACCATTTGTAACGGCACATCATCCAGGGGTCATATTTAGGAGATCCCAACACTCAATGAACAAAGCCTCAGCTGGAAAGTGGATAAGATCTGGTGGTGATCAGAGCAAGTTGACATCAAAAATCTAACTGGCATGCATTGTGCAGCCATAGATTCTGCACAGGGATGTCATCTTCAACAAGCCTAATAAACTGAAGTTATCTTAAGTCTGGATTAGATTTAATACATGTGCTTTAAGGTTAACATAATTGTTACATTTTCTGTCCCATACTCCAATAAACCAACCACAAATCTGACCATGCAAAACTTCTGAACCTTGAATATAAAGATTCCACACCAAAATAGTACAAAATGCATTTTATTTCTCAAAAGGCTGACATGGTACAAGCTTAGAAACAAGGCCCATTAGTGGAAACACCACCCAGATATCTATAAAACAAAAAAGGAAAAAAGTCAGTGGTCATTAGAAAGTTTAACTTGGATTTGCAGAGGCAAACAGAATGAAAAAGCTGAACATTTAGGTAGTCACTCCATCCATAATGAGAAATTGTCTTGGCAGTACACTTACTTTTCAATGATTGCCTCATGCTCAAGATGAGATCACAGCAAAATCTCGTTATAGCTTGGGCTGGTAGCGACGCCGGTAGCGGGGATGCTGGGGCCGCTGCTTGGGCTGGTAGTGATGCCAGTAGCTGGGAACCTGGGGCCGGTAGCTGGGAACCTGGGGCTTGGGCCGGTAGCTGGGAACCTGGGGCCGAGGCCGAGGCTGAGGCTTGGGCCGGTAGCTGGGAACCTGGGGCCGAGGCCGAGGCTGAGGCTTGGGCTGGTAGCTGGGAACCTGGGGCCGAGGCCGAGGCTTGGGCCGGTAGCTGGGAGGCTGAGGCCGGGGCCGAGGCTTGGGCCGGTAGCTGGGAGGCTGAGGCCGGGGCCGAGGCTGGGGCCGAGGCTGAGGCCGAGGCCTGGGCGGGTAGCTGGGAACCTGGGGCTGAGGCATGGGCTGGTAGCTGGGAACCTGGGGCCGAGGCTGAGGCTTGGGCTGGTAGCTGGGAACCTGGGGCCGAGGCTGAGGCTGAGGCTTGGGCTGGTAGCTGGGAACCTGGGGCCGAGGCTGAGGCTGAGGCATGGGCTGGTAGACGGGAACCTGGGGCTGAGGCTTGGGCATGGGCTGGTAGACGGGAACCTGGGGCTGAGGCTTGGGCATGGGCTGGTAGACGGGAACCTGGGGCTGAGGCTGAGGCTTGGGCTGGTAGCTGGGAACCTGGGGCTGAGGCATGGGCTGGTAGCTGGGAACCTGGGGCTGAGGCATGGGCTGGTAGCTGGGAACCTGGGGCTGAGGCATGGGCTGGTAGCTGGGAACCTGGGGCTGAGGCTTGGGCTGGTAGCTGGGAACCTGGGGCTGAGGCTGAGGCATGGGCTGGTAGATGGGAACCTGGGGCCGAGGCTGAGGCTGAGGCATGGGCTGGTAGACGGGAACCTGGGGCTGAGGCTTGGGCTGGTAGCTGGGAACCTGGGGCTGAGGCTGAGGCATGGGCTGGTAGACGGGAACCTGGGGCTGAGGCTTGGGCTGGTAGTTGGGAACCTGGGGCTGAGGCTGAGGCTGAGGCTTGGGCTGGTAGCTGGGAACCTGGGGCCGAGGCTGAGGCTGAGGCATGGGCTGGTAGACGGGAACCTGGGGCTGAGGCTTGGGCATGGGCTGGTAGACGGGAACCTGGGGCTGAGGCTGAGGCATGGGCTGGTAGCTGGGAACCTGGGGCTGAGGCTGAGGCATGGGCTGGTAGCTGGGAACCTGGGGCTGAGGCATGGGCTGGTAGCTGGGAACCTGGGGCTGAGGCATGGGCTGGTAGCTGGGAACCTGGGGCTGAGGCTTGGGCTGGTAGCTGGGAACCTGGGGCTGAGGCTTGGGCTGGTAGCTGGGAACCTGGGGCTGAGGCTGAGGCATGGGCTGGTAGATGGGAACCTGGGGCCGAGGCTGAGGCTGAGGCATGGGCTGGTAGACGGGAACCTGGGGCTGAGGCTTGGGCTGGTAGCTGGGAACCTGGGGCTGAGGCTGAGGCATGGGCTGGTAGACGGGAACCTGGGGCTGAGGCTTGGGCTGGTAGCTGGGAACCTGGGGCTGAGGCTGAGGCATGGGCTGGTAGCTGGGAACCTGGGGCTGAGGCTGAGGCATGGGCTGGTAGCTGGGAACCTGGGGCTGAGGCTGAGGCATGGGCTGGTAGCTGGGAACCTGGGGCTGAGGCTTGGGCTGGTAGCTGGGAACCTGGGGCTGAGGCTTGGGCTGGTAGCTGGGAACCTGGGGCTGAGGCTGAGGCATGGGCTGGTAGCTGGGAACCTGGGGCTGAGGCTGAGGCATGGGCTGGTAGCTGGGAACCTGGGGCTGAGGCTTGGGCTGGTAGCTGGGAACCTGGGGCTGAGGCTTGGGCTGGTAGCTGGGAACCTGGGGCTGAGGCTTGGGCTGGTAGCTGGGAACCTGGGGCTGAGGCTTGGGCTGGTAGATGGGAACCTGGGGCTGAGGCTTGGGCTGGTAGATGGGAACCTGGGGCTGAGGCTTGGGCTGGTAGATGGGAACCTGGGGCTGAGGCTTGGGCTGGTAGATGGGAACCTGGGGCTGAGGCTGAGGCATGGGCTGGTAGATGGGAACCTGGGGCTGAGGCATGGGAACCTGGGGCTCATAGCTCATGTCCGAAATGCCTGGCTCAAATCCCCAATAGGAAGCTAATAAAATATGAACAACCCAAGATATACATTTTACTTTTGCACCCACAAGGCCAATGACAGTTTATTGCAGTAATCCTCTAGTTTAGGATTGATTAAAAGTCATCATTTAAACTTCATATTTAGTTTAAGTGTAACCTGTCTTCTTACGTTTAGCGCTTGCCTGAAGCTCTCCAATTAACAGCAGCGATAATAGCGCCACACTAAAAGAAAAGGGGAAAAAAGCCATGTTTATACTGTAATTATATCATTTCTAAACACAACATTGAACACAGAAAACACTTGAAAGTTACCACAGAAGAAGTCCCATGGCTGAAGAGATGAGATCAAACACAAACTGACTTCGGCTGACCCAGCACAACCGAAAGTCTGTCCTTCTTCCACTGTGGCGCAATGGTCAACAACATCCAGTGCAGTTGTTTTAATTTGTTATGACAGCCAATCACAACTCTCTCTTTCTAAAAGGTTGATTGAAAACAGGTGGAAGTAACAGGACTGGGCTCATAATAAAACACAGGTTCAGAAAAAGGCTTTAATTGAAATTGTGTCAGCTTTTAATTTGTGAAGTGAACTAAAGTGCATTAATATAATTTATAATTTATGCCAAAAGCCACTGTTGGGATGATAACTGCAATAGTGTCATATGACTTAGACCATTAAATACCATGAAAGTGAATTACTAGCCATATTTGACCCAGATCTTCAAGTACATACAATAAACTCAGTGCTACAATTATATATTTTTATGTTAATCACACTACACATTTCCATGATAAACTAAATTAAACCAATATAATGTGTCTTTATATCTACTTTGCTTCAGCTGCTCAGTTTCAAGGCTACCTTGATTTCTATATCAGGTGGTGCCATCTAGTGGTAGAAAAAAATATTTCATACCCTAAAGATACAGGTACAACCTATATAAATGAGTAAAGAAATTTGCAACTCTTCCAAACAAGGCATGACAGGGTCACTTAATGTTCTGATGAACATGAAAATTATGTGAAGGATATGTGATAACCTTCACAGTCACCAGATCTCAAACCAGTTGAACAATGCAGCCATCAAGACACCAAACAGAGGATTCTTTTCAGTGGATGGTCAGAGACTTGCAGACGCTTTGCCACCTTTTTTTTCTTTTGTCACTCAGCTGTATATATTAATTAACAGTACACCATGTGACAAAATGTTAATATAAAAATAATTAATAAAAAGTACAAATGTAGTCACTTGTGTTGTTGGTTTGAGGACAGGCACACATTTTTGTGATTTATCGCTCTGGAGCTTTACTGTTTTGATTTAGTCTCACTGCTGCTATTCAATTTCAATTCAATTCAATTTTATTTGTATAGCGCCAATTCATAACAGAAGTTATCTCAGGACACTTTTCAAATTGAGAGCAGGTCTAGACCGAACTCTTATAACATTATTTACAGAGACCCAACAGTACCACCATGAGCAAGTACTTGGCGACGGGGGCAAGGAAAAACTGCCTGTTAAAAGGCAGAAACCTAGGACAGATCCTTCGGCTCTAGGTGGGTGGTCGTCTGCCTCGACCAGTTGGAGAGAGAGAGAGAGAGAGAGAGAGAGAGAGAGAGAGAGAGAGAGAGACACAGAGACAGAGAGAGACAGACAGGTGCACAGTAACAACAGTATTGGCAATGGCAATCTAGCAGGACCATGGCAGGAGGCTCCACCAGGATCGAAAGAACCTGCGAGACGAGAAAGCACAAGAACTCCGGGGAAGAAGTGAAGTTAGTAACATGCATTAATGGGACATGAATGAGTGCAGAAAGAGGGAGGATGCTATGTCTACATATAAATAATACACAGACATAAATAAAAAGGATACAAAACAAGGTGTCCTTCAGACATTTTCCTTAATCACAGACACAAGTTATGTTACTCTAAGAAGACCACTACGGACAGTATAAAGATAAAAGGATTTATTGGAGTTATAAATGAGTAGTCTCCGAGCACTGATGTGTGATCTCAAATAACAAGATCTGTTCAAAGGAGAATAAAACAGATTCCATTCAGAGTCATTTACACCTTTCTTCTCATTAGTAATGACCTCATGTTAAGGTTCAATTGCCTTGTATTTTTTCTTGTTGGGCCGTTGACAAAAATGTAGGCCTCCCTTGTGTATCTAGAACGCTTTCCAGCAGTAATGTTATGCAACCACATGGAGTAATATATTGGAATGGAGGTTCAAAATATGCTCCTTGATAAATGCAGTAACATTCAATAACCAGCAGATTAAAGGGGCACGGCACAGTTGGTTGCAATTAATTTTGGCCATCAAAGACAACTTTAATATTAAAGTTCCTCAGGCAACTACCCTTAACCCTTAGATGCATGAGTGACTGGACCCTACACTCTTCCATAAGTGCGTCAAAAATGACCCGTATTAGAATCAATGGGTTTTAATGCCATTTTTGTCATTTTAGTTAAGAATAATCATTTGTATTATACTTTGTATTATATTTTGGTCCACACAAGAATGATTACACGTATGAAATATTTTTATTTTTCACTTTTTTAACATTTTGAAAAAATTTTGAAAAAAATTTGAAAACTGTCAACATCACAAAATTACACAACAGCAATAAGAACAATGTCAATATCCATTTTGTGTGTGTGTGTGTGTGTTTCTGTGTCTGTGTGTGTGTATTTCAGGTTCTAGTCAAATCCCATAACTGCCTCTTCATCCAGCATCTGTAGGACCATTTCAACTGTATAGCTAGCAGCCATGACACCTTGGATGAGAAAACATAAAAAGAAAGGTTTTGAATGACAAGCAAACCTATTGATCAATAATTAGCTATATAAATAAATGCACACACACATGCACACACACAGACACGTAACATACAGTAATGTTAGTTAGCTTGGTTAGCTAGCTAGTTTTGCAAACAATAAAATAGACAAATCTGATGATGATAAGAAACACACACTCTTTCACACAGTAAACATGATTGACACACACACCCATACAGTGCATACAGTAATGTTAGCTAGCTTAGTTAGCCAACTAGTGTGAGCTAACTTTAAAGTAGGCTAACTTGTTGACACAGTAGTCATGAATGACACGCACACACATTTCTGAGGTAAAAAAGAAGACAATACTTACATGTATCAAATCTTGCTGTGTAAAATAATCTTCTTAAGGGGTGACACAGGGGTGATATAGTCTGTGTGGTCCAGAAAATACATATTCCTGACAGTCACAGTTGATAAGAATCACAGATTCCCATGAAATCCCATAAGAAATGAATGCGGGTCATTTTTGACCCACTTATGGAAGCTTGGGGTAGTAATACAAAAACTACAATTTCGAAAAATGTATAAAAGGTAAGTTAAAAATTTAAATGGCATTATATCAATAACATGTTTTTTGAGGAATACCTGGAATATGAAACGATAACTTTTCATTAAAGATATTGAAAGAAAACAACCTCACCGGGTCATTTTAGACCCACTTATGCATCTAAGGGTTAAGGAAAATAGCCAATAACTGATTCAGTCTCAATACAAATAAAATAAATCTGAAGTTCTGATTAGTAATTTAATAACTACAACCAAAATGACTTAATAGGAGTTCTGCATAGAAGGGGTTTGTATCATCCACTCTAGTGCAATGAGAGTTTGTTAGCATGCAAAGGTGTCTGTGTGAAGCATAATAGTTAACACCACCACAATGTTGTCTCAAAGACAGTTACAGAAGTAACCAAACATTAACCATAGCCAGATGACAATATAACCTGAAGTCATTTTGACCTACATGTACCGTAACAAAACATTAAGCAATCCTATGCTTAGCCGTGAATACTGTTAAATTATGTGAAACTACCCATGTCCGGTATGTTACCGAACTTGTGTGCTGCACCCACTTGCTGAGGGAAAACAAAAAAAAGTTGTGGTTCCGTCATTCCGATTGCAGGTCAGAGAAAGCTGGTTTACTCTGTTGCTTTGTGGTGGTCCTGGAGTTTCACCCGTGTGGGCAAGCAAAGCGATGAAAGCCCAGGACTTACCATTTGTAACGGCACATCATCCAGGGGTCATATTTAGGAGATCCCAACACTCAATGAACAAAGCCTCAGCTGGAAAGTGGATAAGATCTGGTGGTGATCAGAGCAAGTTGACATCAAAAATCTAACTGGCATGCATTGTGCAGCCATAGATTCTGCACAGGGATGTCATCTTCAACAAGCCTAATAAACTGAAGTTATCTTAAGTCTGGATTAGATTTAATACATGTGCTTTAAGGTTAACATAATTGTTACATTTTCTGTCCCATACTCCAATAAACCAACCACAAATCTGACCATGCAAAACTTCTGAACCTTGAATATAAAGATTCCACACCAAAATAGTACAAAATGCATTTTATTTCTCAAAAGGCTGACATGGTACAAGCTTAGAAACAAGGCCCATTAGTGGAAACACCACCCAGATATCTATAAAACAAAAAAGGAAAAAAGTCAGTGGTCATTAGAAAGTTTAACTTGGATTTGCAGAGGCAAACAGAATGAAAAAGCTGAACATTTAGGTAGTCACTCCATCCATAATGAGAAATTGTCTTGGCAGTACACTTACTTTTCAATGATTGCCTCATGCTCAAGATGAGATCACAGCAAAATCTCGTTATAGCTTGGGCTGGTAGCGACGCCGGTAGCGGGGATGCTGGGGCCGCTGCTTGGGCTGGTAGTGATGCCAGTAGCTGGGAACCTGGGGCCGGTAGCTGGGAACCTGGGGCTTGGGCCGGTAGCTGGGAACCTGGGGCCGAGGCCGAGGCTGAGGCTTGGGCCGGTAGCTGGGAACCTGGGGCCGAGGCTGAGGCTTGGGCCGGTAGCTGGGAGGCTGAGGCCGGGGCCGGTAGCTGGGAGGCTGAGGCCGGGGCTGAGGCCGAGGCCTGGGCGGGTAGCTGGGAACCTGGGGCTGAGGCATGGGCTGGTAGCTGGGAACCTGGGGCCGAGGCTGAGGCTGAGGCATGGGCTGGTAGACGGGAACCTGGGGCCGAGGCTGAGGCTGAGGCATGGGCTGGTAGACGGGAACCTGGGGCTGAGGCTTGGGCATGGACTGGTAGACGGGAACCTGGGGCTGAGGCATGGGCTGGTAGCTGGGAACCTGGGGCTGAGGCATGGGCTGGTAGCTGGGAACCTGGGGCTGAGGCATGGGCTGGTAGCTGGGAACCTGGGGCCGAGGCTGAGGCTTGGGCTGGTAGCTGGGAACCTGGGGCCGAGGCTGAGGCTGAGGCTGAGGCTTGGGCTGGTAGCTGGGAACCTGGGGCCGAGGCTGAGGCTGAGGCATGGGCTGGTAGATGGGAACCTGGGGCTGAGGCTTGGGCATGGGCTGGTAGACGGGAACCTGGGGCTGAGGCTTGGGCATGGACTGGTAGACGGGAACCTGGGGCTGAGGCATGGGCTGGTAGCTGGGAACCTGGGGCTGAGGCATGGGCTGGTAGATGGGAACCTGGGGCCGAGGCTGAGGCTGAGGCATGGACTGGTAGACGGGAACCTGGGGCTGAGGCTTGGGCTGGTAGCTGGGAACCTGGGGCTGAGGCTGAGGCATGGGCTGGTAGCTGGGAACCTGGGGCTGAGGCTGAGGCATGGGCTGGTAGCTGGGAACCTGGGGCTGAGGCTGAAGCATGGGCTGGTAGCTGGGAACCTGGGGCTGAGGCTTGGGCTGGTAGCTGGGAACCTGGGGCTGAGGCTTGGGCTGGTAGCTGGGAACCTGGGGCTGAGGCTGAGGCATGGGCTGGTAGCTGGGAACCTGGGGCTGAGGCATGGGCTGGTAGCTGGGAACCTGGGGCTGAGGCTGAGGCATGGGCTGGTAGCTGGGAACCTGGGGCTGAGGCTGAGGCATGGGCTGGTAGCTGGGAACCTGGGGCTGAGGCTGAGGCATGGGCTGGTAGCTGGGAACCTGGGGCTGAGGCTGAGGCATGGGCTGGTAGCTGGGAACCTGGGGCTGAGGCTTGGGCTGGTAGCTGGGAACCTGGGGCTGAGGCTTGGGCTGGTAGCTGGGAACCTGGGGCTGAGGCTTGGGCTGGTAGCTGGGAACCTGGGGCTGAGGCTTGGGCTGGTAGCTGGGAACCTGGGGCTGAGGCTTGGGCTGGTAGCTGGGAACCTGGGGCTGAGGCTTGGGCTGGTAGATGGGAACCTGGGGCTGAGGCTTGGGCTGGTAGATGGGAACCTGGGGCTGAGGCTGAGGCATGGGCTGGTAGATGGGAACCTGGGGCTGAGGCATGGGAACCTGGGGCTCATAGCTCATGTCCGAAATGCCTGGCTCAAATCCCCAATAGGAAGCTAATAAAATATGAACAACCCAAGATATACATTTTACTTTTGCACCCACAAGGCCAATGACAGTTTATTGCAGTAATCCTCTAGTTTAGGATTGATTAAGAGTCATGATTTAAACTTCATATTTAGTTTAAGTGTAACCTGTCTTCTTACGTTTAGCGCTTGCCTGAAGCTCTCCAATTAGCAGCAGCGATAATAGCGCCACACTAAAAAGAAAAGAGGAAAAAAGCCATGTTTATACTGTAATTATATCATTTCTAAACACAACATTGAACACAGAAAACACTTGAAAGTTACCACAGAAGAAGTCCCATGGCTGAAGAGATGAGATCAAACACAAACTGACTTCGGCTGACCCAGCACAACCGAAAGTCTGTCCTTCTTCCACTGTGGCGCAATGGTCAACAACATCCAGTGCAGTTGTTTTAATTTGTTATGACAGCCAATCACAACTCTCTCTTTCTAAAAGGTTGATTGAAAACAGGTGGAAGTAACAGGACTGGGCTCATAATAAAACACAGGTTCAGAAAAAGGCTTTAATTGAAATTGTGTCAGCTTTTAATTTGTGAAGTGAACTAAAGTGCATTAATATAATTTATAATTTATGCCAAAAGCCACTGTTGGGATGATAACTGCAATAGTGTCATATGACTTAGACCATTAAATACCATGAAAGTGAATTACTAGCCATATTTGACCCAGATCTTCAAGTACATACAATAAACTCAGTGCTACAATTATATATTTTTATGTTAATCACACTACACATTTCCATGATAAACTAAATTAAACCAATATAATGTGTCTTTATATCTACTTTGCTTCAGCTGCTCAGTTTCAAGGCTACCTTGATTTCTATATCAGGTGGTGCCATCTAGTGGTAGAAAAAAATATTTCATACCCTAAAGATACAGGTACAACCTATATAAATGAGTAAAGAAATTTGCAACTCTTCCAAACAAGGCATGACAGGGTCACTTAATGTTCTGATGAACATGAAAATTATGTGAAGGATATGTGATAACCTTCACAGTCACCAGATCTCAAACCAGTTGAACAATGCAGCCATCAAGACACCAAACAGAGGATTCTTTTCAGTGGATGGTCAGAGACTTGCAGACGCTTTGCCACCTTTTTTTCTTTTGTCACTCAGCTGTATATATTAATTAACAGTACACCATGTGACAAAATGTTAATATAAAAATAATTAATAAAAAGTACAAATGTAGTCACTTGTGTTGTTGGTTTGAGGACAGGCACACATTTTTGTGATTTATCGCTCTGGAGCTTTACTGTTTTGATTTAGTCTCACTGCTGCTATTCAATTTCAATTCAATTCAATTTTATTTGTATAGCGCCAATTCATAACAGAAGTTATCTCAGGACACTTTTCAAATTGAGAGCAGGTCTAGACCGAACTCTTATAACATTATTTACAGAGACCCAACAGTACCACCATGAGCAAGTACTTGGCGACGGGGGCAAGGAAAAACTGCCTGTTAAAAGGCAGAAACCTAGGACAGATCCTTCGGCTCTAGGTGGGTGGTCGTCTGCCTCGACCAGTTGAGAGAGAGAGAGAGAGAGAGAGAGAGAGAGAGAGAGAGAGAGAGAGAGACACAGAGACAGAGAGAGACAGACAGGTGCACAGTAACAACAGTATTGGCAATGGCAATCTAGCAGGACCATGGCAGGAGGCTCCACCAGGATCGATAAGAACCTGCGAGACGAGAAAGCACAAGAACTCCGGGGAAGAAGTGAAGTTAGTAACATGCATTAATGGGACATGAATGAGTGCAGAAAGAGGGAGGATGCTATGTCTACATATAAATAATACACAGACATAAATAAAAAGGATACAAAACAAGGTGTCCTTCAGACATTTTCCTTAATCACAGACACAAGTTATGTTACTCTAAGAAGACCACTACGGACAGTATAAAGATAAAAGGATTTATTGGAGTTATAAATGAGTAGTCTCCGAGCACTGATGTGTGATCTCAAATAACAAGATCTGTTCAAAGGAGAATAAAACAGATTCCATTCAGAGTCATTTACACCTTTCTTCTCATTAGTAATGACCTCATGTTAAGGTTCAATTGCCTTGTATTTTTTTCTTGTTGGGCCGTTGACAAAAATGTAGGCCTCCCTTGTGTATCTAGAACGCTTTCCAGCAGTAATGTTATGCAACCACATGGAGTAATATATTGGAATGGAGGTTCAAAATATGCTCCTTGATAAATGCAGTAACATTCAATAACCAGCAGATTAAAGGGGCACGGCACAGTTGGTTGCAATTAATTTTGGCCATCAAAGACAACTTTAATATTAAAGTTCCTCAGGCAACTACCCTTAACCCTTAGATGCATGAGTGACTGGACCCTACACTCTTCCATAAGTGCGTCAAAAATGACCCGTATTAGAATCAATGGGTTTTAATGCCATTTTTGTCATTTTAGTTAAGAATAATCATTTGTATTATACTTTGTATTATATTTTGGTCCACACAAGAATGATTACACGTATGAAATATTTTTATTTTTCACTTTTTTAACATTTTGAAAAAATTTTGAAAAAAATTTGAAAACTGTCAACATCACAAAATTACACAACAGCAATAAGAACAATGTCAATATCCATTTTGTGTGTGTGTGTGTGTGTGTGTGTGTGTTTCTGTGTCTGTGTGTGTGTATTTCAGGTTCTAGTCAAATCCCATAACTGCCTCTTCATCCAGCATCTGTAGGACCATTTCAACTGTATAGCTAGCAGCCATGACACCTTGGATGAGAAAACATAAAAAGAAAGGTTTTGAATGACAAGCAAACCTATTGATCAATAATTAGCTATATAAATAAATGCACACACACATGCACACACACAGACACGTAACATACAGTAATGTTAGTTAGCTTGGTTAGCTAGCTAGTTTTGCAAACAATAAAATAGACAAATCTGATGATGATAAGAAACACACACTCTTTCACACAGTAAACATGATTGACACACACACCCATACAGTGCATACAGTAATGTTAGCTAGCTTAGTTAGCCAACTAGTGTGAGCTAACTTTAAAGTAGGCTAACTTGTTGACACAGTAGTCATGAATGACACGCACACACATTTCTGAGGTAAAAAAGAAGACAATACTTACATGTATCAAATCTTGCTGTGTAAAATAATCTTCTTAAGGGGTGACACAGGGGTGATATAGTCTGTGTGGTCCAGAAAATACATATTCCTGACAGTCAGTTGATAAGAATCACAGATTCCCATGAAATCCCATAAGAAATGAATGCGGGTCATTTTTGACCCACTTATGGAAGCTTGGGGTAGTAATACAAAAACTACAATTTCGAAAAATGTATAAAAGGTAAGTTAAAAATTTAAATGGCATTATATCAATAACATGTTTTTTGAGGAATACCTGGAATATGAAACGATAACTTTTCATTAAAGATATTGAAAGAAAACAACCTCACCGGGTCATTTTAGACCCACTTATGCATCTAAGGGTTAAGGAAAATAGCCAATAACTGATTCAGTCTCAATACAAATAAAATAAATCTGAAGTTCTGATTAGTAATTTAATAACTACAACCAAAATGACTTAATAGGAGTTCTGCATAGAAGGGGTTTGTATCATCCACTCTAGTGCAATGAGAGTTTGTTAGCATGCAAAGGTGTCTGTGTGAAGCATAATAGTTAACACCACCACAATGTTGTCTCAAAGACAGTTACAGCAGTAACCAAACATTAACCATAGCCAGATGACAATATAACCTGAAGTCATTTTGACCTACATGTACCGTAACAAAACATTAAGCAATCCTATGCTTAGCCGTGAATACTGTTAAATTATGTGAAACTACCCATGTCCGGTATGTTACCGAACTTGTGTGCTGCACCCACTTGCTGAGGGAAAACAAAAAAAAGTTGTGGTTCCGTCATTCCGATTGCAGGTCAGAGAAAGCTGGTTTACTCTGTTGCTTTGTGGTGGTCCTGGAGTTTCACCCGTGTGGGCAAGCAAAGCGATGAAAGCCCAGGACTTACCATTTGTAACGGCACATCATCCAGGGGTCATATTTAGGAGATCCCAACACTCAATGAACAAAGCCTCAGCTGGAAAGTGGATAAGATCTGGTGGTGATCAGAGCAAGTTGACATCAAAAATCTAACTGGCATGCATTGTGCAGCCATAGATTCTGCACAGGGATGTCATCTTCAACAAGCCTAATAAACTGAAGTTATCTTAAGTCTGGATTAGATTTAATACATGTGCTTTAAGGTTAACATAATTGTTACATTTTCTGTCCCATACTCCAATAAACCAACCACAAATCTGACCATGCAAAACTTCTGAACCTTGAATATAAAGATTCCACACCAAAATAGTACAAAATGCATTTTATTTCTCAAAAGGCTGACATGGTACAAGCTTAGAAACAAGGCCCATTAGTGGAAACACCACCCAGATATCTATAAAACAAAAAAGGAAAAAAGTCAGTGGTCATTAGAAAGTTTAACTTGGATTTGCAGAGGCAAACAGAATGAAAAAGCTGAACATTTAGGTAGTCACTCCATCCATAATGAGAAATTGTCTTGGCAGTACACTTACTTTTCAATGATTGCCTCATGCTCAAGATGAGATCACAGCAAAATCTCGTTATAGCTTGGGCTGGTAGCGACGCCGGTAGCGGGGATGCTGGGGCCGCTGCTTGGGCTGGTAGTGATGCCAGTAGCTGGGAACCTGGGGCCGGTAGCTGGGAACCTGGGGCTTGGGCCGGTAGCTGGGAACCTGGGGCCGAGGCCGAGGCTGAGGCTTGGGCCGGTAGCTGGGAACCTGGGGCCGAGGCTGAGGCTTGGGCCGGTAGCTGGGAGGCTGAGGCCGGGGCCGGTAGCTGGGAGGCTGAGGCCGGGGCCGGTAGCTGGGAGGCTGAGGCCGGGGCCGGTAGCTGGGAGGCTGAGGCCGGGGCCGGTAGCTGGGAGGCTGAGGCCGGGGCCGGTAGCTGGGAGGCTGAGGCCGGGGCTGAGGCCGAGGCCTGGGCGGGTAGCTGGGAACCTGGGGGGGCTGAGGCATGGGCTGGTAGCTGGGAACCTGGGGCCGAGGCTGAGGCTGAGGCATGGGCTGGTAGACGGGAACCTGGGGCCGAGGCTGAGGCTGAGGCATGGGCTGGTAGACGGGAACCTGGGGCTGAGGCTTGGGCATGGACTGGTAGACGGTAACCTGGGGCTGAGGCATGGGCTGGTAGCTGGGAACCTGGGGCTGAGGCATGGGCTGGTAGCTGGGAACCTGGGGCTGAGGCATGGGCTGGTAGCTGGGAACCTGGGGCCGAGGCTGAGGCTTGGGCTGGTAGCTGGGAACCTGGGGCCGAGGCTGAGGCTGAGGCTGAGGCTTGGGCTGGTAGCTGGGAACCTGGGGCCGAGGCTGAGGCTGAGGCATGGGCTGGTAGATGGGAACCTGGGGCTGAGGCTTGGGCATGGGCTGGTAGACGGGAACCTGGGGCTGAGGCTTGGGCATGGACTGGTAGACGGGAACCTGGGGCTGAGGCATGGGCTGGTAGCTGGGAACCTGGGGCTGAGGCATGGGCTGGTAGATGGGAACCTGGGGCCGAGGCTGAGGCTGAGGCATGGACTGGTAGACGGGAACCTGGGGCTGAGGCTTGGGCTGGTAGCTGGGAACCTGGGGCTGAGGCTGAGGCATGGGCTGGTAGCTGGGAACCTGGGGCTGAGGCTGAGGCATGGGCTGGTAGCTGGGAACCTGGGGCTGAGGCTGAAGCATGGGCTGGTAGCTGGGAACCTGGGGCTGAGGCTTGGGCTGGTAGCTGGGAACCTGGGGCTGAGGCTTGGGCTGGTAGCTGGGAACCTGGGGCTGAGGCTGAGGCATGGGCTGGTAGCTGGGAACCTGGGGCTGAGGCATGGGCTGGTAGCTGGGAACCTGGGGCTGAGGCTGAGGCATGGGCTGGTAGCTGGGAACCTGGGGCTGAGGCTGAGGCATGGGCTGGTAGCTGGGAACCTGGGGCTGAGGCATGGGCTGGTAGCTGGGAACCTGGGGCTGAGGCTGAGGCATGGGCTGGTAGCTGGGAACCTGGGGCTGAGGCTTGGGCTGGTAGCTGGGAACCTGGGGCTGAGGCTTGGGCTGGTAGCTGGGAACCTGGGGCTGAGGCTTGGGCTGGTAGCTGGGAACCTGGGGCTGAGGCTTGGGCTGGTAGCTGGGAACCTGGGGCTGAGGCTTGGGCTGGTAGCTGGGAACCTGGGGCTGAGGCTTGGGCTGGTAGCTGGGAACCTGGGGCTGAGGCTTGGGCTGGTAGATGGGAACCTGGGGCTGAGGCTTGGGCTGGTAGATGGGAACCTGGGGCTGAGGCTGAGGCATGGGCTGGTAGATGGGAACCTGGGGCTGAGGCCTGGGAACCTGGGGCTCATAGCTCATGTCCGAAATGCCTGGCTCAAATCCCCAATAGGAAGCTAATAAAATATGAACAACCCAAGATATACATTTTACTTTTGCACCCACAAGGCCAATGACAGTTTATTGCAGTAATCCTCTAGTTTAGGATTGATTAAGAGTCATGATTTAAACTTCATATTTAGTTTAAGTGTAACCTGTCTTCTTACGTTTAGCGCTTGCCTGAAGCTCTCCAATTAGCAGCAGCGATAATAGCGCCACACTAAAAAGAAAAGAGGAAAAAAGCCATGTTTATACTGTAATTATATCATTTCTAAACACAACATTGAACACAGAAAACACTTGAAAGTTACCACAGAAGAAGTCCCATGGCTGAAGAGATGAGATCAAACACAAACTGACTTCGGCTGACCCAGCACAACCGAAAGTCTGTCCTTCTTCCACTGTGGCGCAATGGTCAACAACATCCAGTGCAGTTGTTTTAATTTGTTATGACAGCCAATCACAACTCTCTCTTTCTAAAAGGTTGATTGAAAACAGGTGGAAGTAACAGGACTGGGCTCATAATAAAACACAGGTTCAGAAAAAGGCTTTAATTGAAATTGTGTCAGCTTTTAATTTGTGAAGTGAACTAAAGTGCATTAATATAATTTATAATTTATGCCAAAAGCCACTGTTGGGATGATAACTGCAATAGTGTCATATGACTTAGACCATTAAATACCATGAAAGTGAATTACTAGCCATATTTGACCCAGATCTTCAAGTACATACAATAAACTCAGTGCTACAATTATATATTTTTATGTTAATCACACTACACATTTCCATGATAAACTAAATTAAACCAATATAATGTGTCTTTATATCTACTTTGCTTCAGCTGCTCAGTTTCAAGGCTACCTTGATTTCTATATCAGGTGGTGCCATCTAGTGGTAGAAAAAAAATATTTCATACCCTAAAGATACAGGTACAACCTATATAAATGAGTAAAGAAATTTGCAACTCTTCCAAACAAGGCATGACAGGGTCACTTAATGTTCTGATGAACATGAAAATTATGTGAAGGATATGTGATAACCTTCACAGTCACCAGATCTCAAACCAGTTGAACAATGCAGCCATCAAGACACCAAACAGAGGATTCTTTTCAGTGGATGGTCAGAGACTTGCAGACGCTTTGCCACCTTTTTTTCTTTTGTCACTCAGCTGTATATATTAATTAACAGTACACCATGTGACAAAATGTTAATATAAAAATAATTAATAAAAAGTACAAATGTAGTCACTTGTGTTGTTGGTTTGAGGACAGGCACACATTTTTGTGATTTATCGCTCTGGAGCTTTACTGTTTTGATTTAGTCTCACTGCTGCTATTCAATTTCAATTCAATTCAATTTTATTTGTATAGCGCCAATTCATAACAGAAGTTATCTCAGGACACTTTTCAAATTGAGAGCAGGTCTAGACCGAACTCTTATAACATTATTTACAGAGACCCAACAGTACCACCATGAGCAAGTACTTGGCGACGGGGGCAAGGGAAAAACTGCCTGTTAAAAGGCAGAAACCTAGGACAGATCCTTCGGCTCTAGGTGGGTGGTCGTCTGCCTCGACCAGTTGGAGGAGAGAGAGAGAGAGAGAGAGAGAGAGAGAGAGAGAGAGAGAGAGAGACACAGAGACAGAGAGAGACAGACAGGTGCACAGTAACAACAGTATTGGCAATGGCAATCTAGCAGGACCATGGCAGGAGGCTCCACCAGGATCGATAAGAACCTGCGAGACGAGAAAGCACAAGAACTCCGGGGGAAGAAGTGAAGTTAGTAACATGCATTAATGGGACATGAATGAGTGCAGAAAGAGGGAGGATGCTATGTCTACATATAAATAATACACAGACATAAATAAAAAGGATACAAAACAAGGTGTCCTTCAGACATTTTCCTTAATCACAGACACAAGTTATGTTACTCTAAGAAGACCACTACGGACAGTATAAAGATAAAAGGATTTATTGGAGTTATAAATGAGTAGTCTCCGAGCACTGATGTGTGATCTCAAATAACAAGATCTGTTCAAAGGAGAATAAAACAGATTCCATTCAGAGTCATTTACACCTTTCTTCTCATTAGTAATGACCTCATGTTAAGGTTCAATTGCCTTGTATTTTTTTCTTGTTGGGCCGTTGACAAAAATGTAGGCCTCCCTTGTGTATCTAGAACGCTTTCCAGCAGTAATGTTATGCAACCACATGGAGTAATATATTGGAATGGAGGTTCAAAATATGCTCCTTGATAAATGCAGTAACATTCAATAACCAGCAGATTAAAGGGGCACGGCACAGTTGGTTGCAATTAATTTTGGCCATCAAAGACAACTTTAATATTAAAGTTCCTCAGGCAACTACCCTTAACCCTTAGATGCATGAGTGACTGGACCCTACACTCTTCCATAAGTGCGTCAAAAATGACCCGTATTAGAATCAATGGGTTTTAATGCCATTTTTGTCATTTTAGTTAAGAATAATCATTTGTATTATACTTTGTATTATATTTTGGTCCACACAAGAATGATTACACGTATGAAATATTTTTATTTTTCACTTTTTTAACATTTTGAAAAAATTTTGAAAAAAATTTGAAAACTGTCAACATCACAAAATTACACAACAGCAATAAGAACAATGTCAATATCCATTTTGTGTGTGTGTGTGTGTGTGTGTGTGTGTGTGTGTGTGTTTCTGTGTCTGTGTGTGTGTATTTCAGGTTCTAGTCAAATCCCATAACTGCCTCTTCATCCAGCATCTGTAGGACCATTTCAACTGTATAGCTAGCAGCCATGACACCTTGGATGAGAAAACATAAAAAGAAAGGTTTTGAATGACAAGCAAACCTATTGATCAATAATTAGCTATATAAATAAATGCACACACACATGCACACACACAGACACGTAACATACAGTAATGTTAGTTAGCTTGGTTAGCTAGCTAGTTTTGCAAACAATAAAATAGACAAATCTGATGATGATAAGAAACACACACTCTTTCACACAGTAAACATGATTGACACACACACCCATACAGTGCATACAGTAATGTTAGCTAGCTTAGTTAGCCAACTAGTGTGAGCTAACTTTAAAGTAGGCTAACTTGTTGACACAGTAGTCATGAATGACACGCACACACATTTCTGAGGTAAAAAAGAAGACAATACTTACATGTATCAAATCTTGCTGTGTAAAATAATCTTCTTAAGGGGTGACACAGGGGTGATATAGTCTGTGTGGTCCAGAAAATACATATTCCTGACAGTCACAGTTGATAAGAATCACAGATTCCCATGAAATCCCATAAGAAATGAATGCGGGTCATTTTTGACCCACTTATGGAAGCTTGGGGTAGTAATACAAAAACTACAATTTCGAAAAATGTATAAAAGGTAAGTTAAAAATTTAAATGGCATTATATCAATAACATGTTTTTTGAGGAATACCTGGAATATGAAACGATAACTTTTCATTAAAGATATTGAAAGAAAACAACCTCACCGGGTCATTTTAGACCCACTTATGCATCTAAGGGTTAAGGAAAATAGCCAATAACTGATTCAGTCTCAATACAAATAAAATAAATCTGAAGTTCTGATTAGTAATTTAATAACTACAACCAAAATGACTTAATAGGAGTTCTGCATAGAAGGGGTTTGTATCATCCACTCTAGTGCAATGAGAGTTTGTTAGCATGCAAAGGTGTCTGTGTGAAGCATAATAGTTAACACCACCACAATGTTGTCTCAAAGACAGTTACAGAAGTAACCAAACATTAACCATAGCCAGATGACAATATAACCTGAAGTCATTTTGACCTACATGTACCGTAACAAAACATTAAGCAATCCTATGCTTAGCCGTGAATACTGTTAAATTATGTGAAACTACCCATGTCCGGTATGTTACCGAACTTGTGTGCTGCACCCACTTGCTGAGGGAAAACAAAAAAAAGTTGTGGTTCCGTCATTCCGATTGCAGGTCAGAGAAAGCTGGTTTACTCTGTTGCTTTGTGGTGGTCCTGGAGTTTCACCCGTGTGGGCAAGCAAAGCGATGAAAGCCCAGGACTTACCATTTGTAACGGCACATCATCCAGGGGTCATATTTAGGAGATCCCAACACTCAATGAACAAAGCCTCAGCTGGAAAGTGGATAAGATCTGGTGGTGATCAGAGCAAGTTGACATCAAAAATCTAACTGGCATGCATTGTGCAGCCATAGATTCTGCACAGGGATGTCATCTTCAACAAGCCTAATAAACTGAAGTTATCTTAAGTCTGGATTAGATTTAATACATGTGCTTTAAGGTTAACATAATTGTTACATTTTCTGTCCCATACTCCAATAAACCAACCACAAATCTGACCATGCAAAACTTCTGAACCTTGAATATAAAGATTCCACACCAAAATAGTACAAAATGCATTTTATTTCTCAAAAGGCTGACATGGTACAAGCTTAGAAACAAGGCCCATTAGTGGAAACACCACCCAGATATCTATAAAACAAAAAAGGAAAAAAGTCAGTGGTCATTAGAAAGTTTAACTTGGATTTGCAGAGGCAAACAGAATGAAAAAGCTGAACATTTAGGTAGTCACTCCATCCATAATGAGAAATTGTCTTGGCAGTACACTTACTTTTCAATGATTGCCTCATGCTCAAGATGAGATCACAGCAAAATCTCGTTATAGCTTGGGCTGGTAGCGACGCCGGTAGCGGGGATGCTGGGGCCGCTGCTTGGGCTGGTAGTGATGCCAGTAGCTGGGAACCTGGGGCCGGTAGCTGGGAACCTGGGGCTTGGGCCGGTAGCTGGGAACCTGGGGCCGAGGCCGAGGCTGAGGCTTGGGCTGGTAGCTGGGAACCTGGGGCCGAGGCTGAGGCTTGGGCCGGTAGCTGGGAGGCTGAGGCCGGGGCCGAGGCTTGGGCCGGTAGCTGGGAGGCTGAGGCCGGGGCTGAGGCCGAGGCCTGGGCGGGTAGCTGGGAACCTGGGGCTGAGGCATGGGCTGGTAGCTGGGAACCTGGGGCCGAGGCCGAGGCTTGGGCTGGTAGCTGGGAACCTGGGGCCGAGGCTGAGGCTGAGGCTTGGGCTGGTAGACGGGAACCTGGGGCCGAGGCTGAGGCTGAGGCATGGGCTGGTAGACGGGAACCTGGGGCCGAGGCTGAGGCTGAGGCATGGGCTGGTAGACGGGAACCTGGGGCTGAGGCTTGGGCATGGGCTGGTAGACGGGAACCTGGGGCTGAGGCTTGGGCATGGACTGGTAGACGGTAACCTGGGGCTGAGGCATGGGCTGGTAGCTGGGAACCTGGGGCTGAGGCATGGGCTGGTAGCTGGGAACCTGGGGCCGAGGCTGAGGCATGGGCTGGTAGCTGGGAACCTGGGGCCGAGGCTGAGGCTGAGGCTTGGGCTGGTAGCTGGGAACCTGGGGCCGAGGCTGAGGCTGAGGCTTGGGCTGGTAGCTGGGAACCTGGGGCCGAGGCTGAGGCTGAGGCTTGGGCTGGTAGCTGGGAACCTGGGGCCGGGGCTGAGGCTTTGGCATGGGCTGGTAGACGGGAACCTGGGGCTGAGGCTTGGGCATGGGCTGGTAGACGGGAACCTGGGGCTGAGGCTTGGGCATGGGCTGGTAGACGGGAACCTGGGGCTGAGGCATGGGCTGGTAGACGGGAACCTGGGGCTGAGGCTTGGGCTGGTAGACGGGAACCTGGGGCTGAGGCTTGGGCTGGTAGCTGGGAACCTGGGGCTGAGGCTTGGGCTGGTAGCTGGGAACCTGGGGCTGAGGCTTGGGCTGGTAGCTGGGAACCTGGGGCTGAGGCTGAGGCTGAGGCATGGACTGGTAGACGGGAACCTGGGGCTGAGGCTTGGGCTGGTAGCTGGGAACCTGGGGCTGAGGCTGAGGCATGGGCTGGTAGCTGGGAACCTGGGGCTGAGGCTGAGGCATGGGCTGGTAGCTGGGAACCTGGGGCTGAGGCTTGGGCTGGTAGCTGGGAACCTGGGGCTGAGGCTGAGGCATGGGCTGGTAGCTGGGAACCTGGGGCTGAGGCTGAGGCATGGGCTGGTAGCTGGGAACCTGGGGCTGAGGCTGAGGCATGGGCTGGTAGCTGGGAACCTGGGGCTGAGGCTTGGGCTGGTAGCTGGGAACCTGGGGCTGAGGCTTGGGCTGGTAGCTGGGAACCTGGGGCTGAGGCTTGGGCTGGTAGCTGGGAACCTGGGGCTGAGGCTTGGGCTGGTAGCTGGGAACCTGGGGCTGAGGCTTGGGCTGGTAGCTGGGAACCTGGGGCTGAGGCTTGGGCTGGTAGCTGGGAACCTGGGGCTGAGGCTTGGGCTGGTAGATGGGAACCTGGGGCTGAGGCTGAGGCATGGGCTGGTAGATGGGAACCTGGGGCTGAGGCATGGGAACCTGGGGCTCATAGCTCATGTCCAAAATGCCTGGCTCAAATCCCCAATAGGAAGCTAATAAAATATGAACAACCCAAGATATACATTTTACTTTTGCACCCACAAGGCCAATGACAGTTTATTGCAGTAATCCTCTAGTTTAGGATTGATTAAGAGTCATGATTTAAACTTCATATTTAGTTTAAGTGTAACCTGTCTTCTTACGTTTAGCGCTTGCCTGAAGCTCTCCAATTAGCAGCAGCGATAATAGCGCCACACTAAAAAGAAAAGAGGAAAAAAGCCATGTTTATACTGTAATTATATCATTTCTAAACACAACATTGAATACAGAAAACACTTGAAAGTTACCACAGAAGAAGTCCCATGGCTGAAGAGATGAGATCAAACACAAACTGACTTCGGCTGACCCAGCACAACCGAAAGTCTGTCCTTCTTCCACTGTGGCGCAATGATCAACAACATCCAGTGCAGTTGTTTTAATTTGTTATGACAGCCAATCACAACTCTCTCTTTCTAAAAGGTTGATTGAAAACAGGTGGAAGTAACAGGACTGGGCTCATAATAAAACACAGGTTCAGAAAAAGGCTTTAATTGAAATTGTGTCAGCTTTTAATTTGTGAAGTGAACTAAAGTGCATTAATATAATTTATAATTTATGCCAAAAGCCACTGTTGGGATGATAACTGCAATAGTGTCATATGACTTAGACCATTAAATACCATGAAAGTGAATTACTAGCCATATTTGACCCAGATCTTCAAGTACATACAATAAACTCAGTGCTACAATTATATATTTTTATGTTAATCACACTACACATTTCCATGATAAACTAAATTAAACCAATATAATGTGTCTTTATATCTACTTTGCTTCAGCTGCTCAGTTTCAAGGCTACCTTGATTTCTATATCAGATGGTGCCATCTAGTGGTAGAAAAAAAAATATTTCATACCCTAAAGATACAGGTACAACCTATATAAATGAGTAAAGAAATTTGCAACTCTTCCAAACAAGGCATGACAGGGTCACTTAATGTTCTGATGAACATGAAAATTATGTGAAGGATATGTGATAACCTTCACAGTCACCAGATCTCAAACCAGTTGAACAATGCAGCCATCAAGACACCAAACAGAGGATTCTTTTCAGTGGATGGTCAGAGACTTGCAGACGCTTTGCCACCTTTTTTTCTTTTGTCACTCAGCTGTATATATTAATTAAGAGTACACCATGTGACAAAATGTTAATATAAAAATAATTAATAAAAAGTACAAATGTAGTCACTTGTGTTGTTGGTTTGAGGACAGGCACACATTTTTGTGATTTATCGCTCTGGAGCTTTACTGTTTTGATTTAGTCTCACTGCTGCTATTCAATTTCAATTCAATTCAATTTTATTTGTATAGCGCCAATTCATAACAGAAGTTATCTCAGGACACTTTTCAAATTGAGAGCAGGTCTAGACCGAACTCTTATAACATTATTTACAGAGACCCAACAGTACCACCATGAGCAAGTACTTGGCGACGGGGGCAAGGAAAAACTGCCTGTTAAAAGGCAGAAACCTAGGACAGATCCTTCGGCTCTAGGTGGGTGGTCGTCTGCCTCGACCAGTTGAGAGAGAGAGAGAGAGAGAGAGAGAGAGAGAGAGAGAGAGAGAGACACAGAGACAGAGAGAGACAGACAGGTGCACAGTAACAACAGTATTGGCAATGGCAATCTAGCAGGACCATGGCAGGAGGCTCCACCAGGATCGATAAGAACCTGCGAGACGAGAAAGCACAAGAACTCCGGGGAAGAAGTGAAGTTAGTAACATGCATTAATGGGACATGAATGAGTGCAGAAAGAGGGAGGATGCTATGTCTACATATAAATAATACATAGACATAAATAAAAAGGATACAAAACAAGGTGTCCTTCAGACATTTTCCTTAATCACAGACACAAGTTATGTTATTCTAAGAAGACCACTACGGACAGTATAAAGATAAAAGGATTTATTGGAGTTATAAATGAGTAGTCTCCGAGCACTAATGTGTGATCTCAAATAACAAGATCTGTTCAAAGGAGAATAAAACAGATTCCATTCAGAGTCATTTACACCTTTCTTCTCATTAGTAATGACCTCATGTTAAGGTTCAATTGCCTTGTATTTTTTCTTGTGTTGGGCCGTTGACAAAAATGTAGGCCTCCCTTGTGTATCTAGAACGCTTTCCAGCAGTAATGTTATGCAACCACATGGAGTAATATATTGGAATGGAGGTTCAAAATGTGCTCCTTGATAAAGGCAGTAACATTCAATAACCAGCAGATGGAGCTCAGACTATACAAGGGACAAAATGATAATTTAAGTATCTGAATCCTACTCATTCATGGCTGACCCAGCACAGGTCCTATCGCTGTACGAGATTCAAATAATATTAACCTGTGATTTTAAAAAGAAGGACAACGACTCAGTCTATATTTGGAAAGTTTTAAAACATCCCTTAAACATTTTGTCTGTATTATTGAAGTAGAGTCAATGTGCTGCAATGTAGACCAGTTCAGAGTAATTATGGTGATAATATCTCTGGAGCAGAGATGCCTCACGTTCCCTGAAGAAAGCACAAAGCTATATAACAGCAGCCTGTGTGAAGATAAAGTGTGGATGGGTAGAAGAGTAGATGCTTCAAAAAGTTATCCAGTTAAAACATCATCATCATCAGCAAAAAACATCTTGTTGCATGTAAAGCAATTTTTTTTTTTTTTTTATCAGTCAAGGGGGTTGACATTCCTATTTTCATTTGCTTGGAGAAAATAGTATTTAATATATATTATGTATAGAGTGAATATTAAATACCTTTTGAATACAAACTCTATCAGATATCTCTCAAGCTTGTTTGCACTTTGATATCTTATCTCTTTTCATCTAAATCTATCGAAAAAGCAGTGTTTTTTTTATCTCAGTTTATTTGTTGGTTTTATGACCCTCATTAAAGTTGTGACAGTGTTCAATAATGTTCAATAATATGTTATACTGTGAACTCTATGCCCTTCACTGCTGCAGCTATGACACAGTTTTCCCACTGGGAATGTAATGGCTTTATAAAAAGTGTTCTGTTAAACTGCTGACTATCAGCAGTACTGAGAGAGAGGTTTGTGTGGGTTAGATCAAAATGGCAAAATTAGGTGTACTCTTAGTCAAGATAAGACATTTTAACCCATTTGTTTGTGCACCAGGGCAATGTTTTTTCTTGTCCTGTCTATCACATGTACAACTTTTGACAAGAACCAATTAAGAAGACTAATTCACCCATGTTTTGACAACTCTTGTTTTAAGAATAAATAAATAAATAAATAAATAAATAAATAAATAAATAAATATTGGAAATGGTTTATGATTTGGCCCCAGGAAAACGAGAACCCCCAATGAGGCAAAATATTTGCATGTGCACGAGTCTATTGTTTATTATCATGCAAAGCACAGTGGATTGCTTTTGTATGAAATGGTGCTACAGTTTTAATTGAGCTGAACTGAATATGTAGAATAACCAAGACTATTACATAATTTCTGTGTGTTAGTGCCTGCGCCGTTTTCTAATCAGTAAAGCTAAATTGGATGAGGTGACAAGCGTAATGAGTGGCAGTCGTCCCACCCGGGTTAGATAATCCAGTCTGGGACCAAGCTGTGACCTCAGGCTGACGTGCCTCTCCGGCCCAGCCCATCCGGCGATGCACTGCCGCTGTCTGCCCTGCAGTCTCACACAGAGACAACAATATTCCCACTCGACAAGGACTAGCAGCCTACCAGCCTGGTTACCCACAGCCACGTATGCTTTGTATTACAAACAGACCTACTGCCGACCGACTGCGGCAAGGTGAGTGTGTTTCATTTGGATTTTAGTGGGGTTATTCAGGCTGGATGAGAACAGACGGAGGAAAAAACGCTTCAGCTGGGCAGCATCGCTTCGCAGGCTGAAAAAATGATGCCTCGCTCGGTCACAACGGGAAAGACGCAGCCTCGGCTTTAAACGATATTTTCCGCTCCCAGGTGCCTTGTCGTCTTAAAACAGGTATTTTTCGTTAAACATTGCAAAGGGAAGATGATGTTAGCTTGGTTGGTGGCGTTGTGTATTTTTTTAATTTATTTTTTATTGCGGTAACACAAAGGCAGCGAAGCGGAGGGTAACGGGTTATCGTGTAAATACGGGTTAAAAGGCCGTGGACACGGGATGAAAATACACAATTAGACAATAATAAACAGTCACTATTTGTTTATGATAAACTGCAATGGTATAGCGTTGCCACACCAGGGGCCTGCGCCTTTATGTTATCACCATATTGACCCGATATTGCTAGAAACAACAGCGGCACACAACCAGTGTCAAATTCAACAAAATAAAGAAATGTAACTTCCGCTGAAATTTAGGAAAATAAGAGCCTGGCCTCTTTGGGTAATGCTTGAACCATAAATTGAGGGTTGAGAAAGACAACAATATTAAAATGAATCCATCAATTAACGTATTGATTTGGCACATATATAGATTATATATTCTGTAGATTCACTTTGTATAACTACAGGTATGAGTTGATTCGACTATTTTGAAGTGATTGCATTTGTTTCCAGTGCACACACCCAGGCTTTTATTGTGAAGGCAGCCTGGCTGTACCTCCTGGTGTATTCTGGTTGATGCACAGTGTGTGGTGGTTGGTGTCTTGAGGTGCATTACAAGCAGTATGGTGTGGATGGATGCAGATTGGCCTGAAAAGCAATAATTCCATCGTGTTACTGCTGCAGCATTAAGTATTGCTACTCAGTTAGAGGGGAGGGGACTTCAATACATGGTTAACCTCCTGACATATTAACTGCAGATAGATAGGGGGCTTTGGGGAAATGTATATTAAAGATGCTTTTTGTTATTATGTTTACTATTAATGGCAGTAGCAGTGGCTGCAGTAACAGTTGCAAGTAAAAGTTTTTGGTAGCAGCAGCAGATGTTGTACCAATAGTAGCAATACTAGCAGTAGTAGTATTTTTTTTGCAGAAAGCACTGGGCCTGTGAAATTCAGACAGTTGAGAATAATTTTGCAAATTATTTTCTTTTCTCTGAATATCAACCTGGATGAGTTCAGATAACAGTTGGTTGAGAGACAGTACAAATATACTGATACAATTCTAGTGTAAAACCATAATGATTTCCTTTAGAGGTCAACTAACATGAAACTAACATGACAAATGTCTGATAAATGTCCCGTAGAGGCAACATCACAATAGCTACTATTTTATGTCTGCAAAAACCTTTTACACATCCTTCCATTCAATCAAGCAGAACTCACTAAAGAGAGAATGAGATCAAGGGAGAATTGAAGATCAGCAGGCTTAAAGTGACGTTTAAGGTCACAATATTACCCCAAATCAACACCAAGGCCCAAAGTGTGTCATTGCTAGTAAGAGTAAAAAGTCACATAGGGATTTATTCTATAACATAAGGACAAGGATGTGTCAGCAGAACGTGATGTGTTAGTTAGGATTCCTCTTGGTTAGCTGACACCTCTGTCACTAAATCTTAAAGGGCAGTCTCAAATGCCAGAGTCCAGATACTGACATCCTGGTCTTCTGACTATTCCAGAAATAAATAAGACAACAATAGGTGGAAGGGCCTTCTCTTACCAAGCCCTTCTTCTTTGGAATCATCTTTCTACCTAAATTTGAGAGGCTAGCCTTCAACCTCACTAGTCATGTACAGTTTAAGTTGTTACTTTGACCAGCCCGATTGTTAGCAGCAGTAATCGACAGTGTAGAAAATTAAAGTTTCCGCCTTTTCTGCCTCCTAAATCTGAAGTTAACTGTACAGCCTTGATTTCCTGTGCGCTAGACCTGAAACTATTAGTTAATTAATTGTTTACTTGATAGACATAAATAAATGAATACATTTTTTTTCATTAAATGTTCATAATTGATTAATTGTTTTTGTAATTTGTAAGCAAAAATGGCAAATATTTTCTGATTCCAGCTTCTTAAATGTGAGAATGTTCTGATTTTCTCTTTGTCATATGAGTTCTAAATTGAATATCTTAAGGTTTTTGACTGTTGGTTGGGTAAAAAAAGCTAACTGAAGGCTTACTCTGACTATTTTTGGACATTTTGTAACCAAAGGAAGTGATTATGTGACATAATAATCAATAATGAAAATAGTTGTTCTACTATTGACTACTTTGACTTCTATAATATACTATTATTTTGATTTATCTGACCATTTAGTGTAAATTAAAGAAAATCAATTTCAAAATTTCCTGTTGCTCAAGTTGTCATATTCAGATTGCATGTATCGTCCAACTGTCGAAAACCCGGTGCCCAAATCCTTACAACTAAGAATTTGGAGCCAGTGATGTTTAATGTTTAATTTTACTTGATACATGACTTCTAATTGTTGACGGAAAGTCTTCATTCATAGTGAATGTCATTTACAGCAGCAGTGTCTTTGCACAGTATTGTGTTCTCTAATGAGATCAATGCTTGATCTGTCTCTAGACAGTGTGAGAAGGGACCTGTGAGTATTGGGCCTAACCATCATGGCATTTAGTTTAAAGCCTCAGCATTGTGGTCATGCACATGTTTTTAAATCACAACTGATTCAGTGTGTCAGGCGACGTGTCCGTTCTCAGTGCTCAGTTGCTCTTCCTGATCTCGGAATGTGTCTCTCAGTGTTACATAACCTAGGGCCTGCAGAGGCCGGATGTGCATAGTTTCTCTGTATGTTTTCATGTGTGTGTTTAATATGTGTTAGTGTGTATTGTGTTTTGGTCTTTGGTGTGAGTATCATAGATTTATAAAAGCCCTGTATGCAGATATCATAATTCATGCAGGTCCTATTATCCTATTATTATGTTATTCAGTTTCCCTTAATAGACTTTTTCAACACTATTTTATCTGCAGCTATACACTCAGTGAAAAAAGTGTCACTTTAATGCTTTGGTTGGCTTGTTTTGAAGGTTGTCCAATGTTGAAGGATTACATTTCAACAATATAATTATATTGAGAACTTTTCAAGGCATGCCAACATCCCGAAAGCCTTTTTTTTTGGTCTAAACTCTCTAAAAAAACAAAACAAAACAAAAAATCAAGCACGCCAGTTTTTGCTTGTCTAACTCCTATTCCCATTGATGCCATTGATACTATAAATATCTGCAACTATGACATTTTAAAAAGTGTCTCACTAAATTCTAATTATTTGCTGGTTAAAATATTTATTTAGAAGGGAACATTTATCTTAATGTAAGTTTATGATAATAATTGCTGCCATAATCTCTGATCCATTGTGTTTCAAAGTAAGAAGATTGCTAGTGCATCTCATTCGTAAGTAGCATTTCAGCTCCTGTGTTTAAATTGAAATGGCTCCACCTTGAAGTGCTGAGAAAGGGCACAAATCCCAGCGAATTTTCTCCGTTGCAAATGTCTCTGCAGAAACTCGTGTTGACTGTGCAAAACATTAATCTTAAGGCTGGTCATGAACAGACTTTAAAAGAAAATGGACTTTTATGTGACAGTGCAGTGGATTCAAAAGTGTTGTTTTAAAGCCTACATGTCAGACAGTTCTCTCAAACACTTGAACCTTACGTAAACTCTCCCAGTCAAAGAAACCACTGATATTAGTCATACGACAGTGTGTCTTCACAGCCAGCTGAGCCCACGTGTAGCCTCTGCAGGGCTTTGGTGGTTTGACCTCGTCACGAACCTCCGTGTGATGTTGATGCAACATTTGTGTGAAAGTATTGCCACGGTTCTCAGTGTTCCTCAGGGAACTGATCAGGGTCCTTGTCTGTTTCCAATTAGAAGAAAGACTTGATTTCTTGAAATAATTTAGCTTTTAACACTAGAACTACCAAGGCAGTCATTTTGACCGTTTTTAAATTTTACAGTGTAATAACTTTGTTAAAATAAAATCAATGTGGCTGTAGGACTCTGACTTTTCCTAAATATGGGTATATTTTATTCTGACACTGTTATTTTATTAAAATCACAAAACACAAAACAGTTCTGACTATTTCTACCTAGAATGACCATGGCGGTCATTTTGACCGCACGCATTATAGATATCATATTTAAGTCCGCTACATTTCCCGCCATTGGTAATGAGCGTCCCCGTTGCATAGCAACGATTTGTCCTTCTTTGTTTATGCTATTCCAACCCTATAAGTTATACATTTGAGCTAACAAAATGTCATCAAGAAGAACAATGACAGCCACAGAGGCTTTAGCCATGCTTCGGAGGCTCGACGATGAGGACTCTGATGGAGGAGCAGGTACGGATAGGGACAGCGATGTCTCTTGGTCCCTGGACAGTTCATCCAGCTCTGAGAGTGATTCAGATAATGAATTCATTCCCCGTCGAAAAAAGAGCCGGCTGGACATCTCCGATCCTGGAACTGACCTTGTTCCATCGGATAATATTCCAGGTATGTTTCTCTTGATACTTTGCGAGGCAGACTAGCCAGGCTATTATCAATAATAGTTGTACTTCAAAGTAAAGTTATCCGTCTCTAACTATCTAAGGTAGGCTATACCGATCAGATCTGCTATCGAAAACGGTTGTCATATTATTTTTCCCCTCACACACCCACCGCTGTTACAGACGCACCTTTCCTGGCGACCGATCCATTCATTCACATTTTTACGTCAGGCACACACCTTTTCATTATTATTATTCTATTGGTATTATTAGTAGGCCTAATATACTATATTGCCACGCTAGTAGAAATCATATGGGCTAATATTAGTCCTAACAAGATTGTGATTTCATGAACTAAAAAGTAATTAGTCTGTTCTTTTTTTTTTGGCAATAGTACAAAATCCTGATCCATCAGATGTGTCTGCTGTGCCAAGACAATCCAGTCCGCCACGAGATGAGGAAGCTGGCCCAATAAACCCACTTTCAGCCGAGAGGCGTGAAACGGCGAAAGACGGCACAGTGTGGACCTTTATAGAGTCGGGTGAAGACAGAGGAAGGCGACAATGTCAAAACGTAATAACAGAAGCGGCAGGCCCCACAGCGCACGCCAAGCGCAATATTGAAGATGCTCTTACAGCCTTTTTGTGTTTAGTGGATGAGGGCATGCTGAAACACATCAGGGACTGCACCGTGGCTGAGGCCCACCGAGTCAAGGAGGACAAAATATGGGACATGTCAGTTGAAGAGCTAAAAGCCTTCATTGGTCTAATTTACATTCGTGGTGCGCAAGGTGGAAAAGGCATGGACTTAGCGAGCTTTTGGTCAGCCGAGTGGGGCTGCGCTTTTTTCAAAGAGACCATGTCCCGAAACAGGTTTCAGGAAATAATGAGATTCCTGCGTTTCGACAGAAGGGAAACTCGACGCACACGCCTGCAAGACAACAAGTTTGCTTTGATGAGTGATGTTTGGGACAGATTTGTCCAAAACTGCATCGTCTGCTACAAGCCCGGTGCAGACATCACTGTGGATGAGCAGCTATTCCCGACAAAGTCAAGGTGCAGCTTCATGCAGTATATTGCAAACAAACCGGACAAATTCGGAATAAAATTCTGGCTTGCTGCGGATGTTGACACCAAATACATGGTAAACGGCGCGCCTTATCTGGGCAAAGACGAGACGAGGAGGCCAGGTCAACGACTTGGAGACAGTGTGGTGCTAAAAATGGTCGAGCCATACCTGGGGAAGGGAAGAAACGTAACCACCGACAATTTCTTTACTTCATTTGAACTGGCCAAGGCACTTCAGGCCAAGAAAACCAGCTTGGTTGGCACGGTAAACAAGACCAGACGAGAGCTCCCCCCGTGCGTAAAGGCGCAAAGGCCGCTGTTCAGCACAGAGGTGCTGAAAAGTGGAGATGCAACACTGACCGTGTATCAGTGCAAAAGAAAAAAGAATGTCTGCATCCTCAGCACTGTCCACACAGCTGTTGGCATCACAAGTGGCCACAAAAGCAAGCCAGAGACGGTCACGTACTATAACAAGACCAAGGTAGGAGTAGACGTCCTGGATCAAATGGCCAGAAAATACTCTGTGAAAGCACCCTCCCGTAGATGGCCAGTAGCCGTGTTTTATAACATCCTCGACCTGGCTGCAATCAACGCGCACATATTGTTTAAGAAGTGCACAAATGAGAAAGTTTCGCGGAGGGACTTCATCACGCGACTGGCGAGTGAACTTCGCTCCGACCACATCAGCTCAAAAGCCACACAACTGGTGGTGCGAGAGCCAGGACCCGGGCAGGAGCAGCAGCAGATGGAGAGAAGAAGGCAGTGCCAAGTAAGGAGGAACTGCAAAAAAAATAAAACCAAGGAGACATGTGCCAAATGTCACAAAGTAGTGTGTGGAAGCTGCACACGAAAGGCGGTGTTTACCTGTGTGGACTGTGCGTAAGCGTCAGTGAATGATGCTGGGTGTTTGCGCCGTTCAAATGAGCCCACTTGGAGGAAAACGTGTTTATCTGATTTTGTTCATTATTACTAATCGTTCTAAAGCAGTTCGTTTTCTTGTTTAGCTAATGTTCATGTTTTTCTGAGCCTGTTTTTGTGTGTACTAGATTGTGTTGCATACGTGTCCCTGAAAGTTTTTACAATGTATTCAAATGTATATAGGTAATGTTTTTGTTATTGTATATATGTTAGAAGTTATTGTATCATAAGATTTGTTTTTTATTGTACAAAGAAAATAAGAAAATATTTATCAATTTGGCTGGAAAATACATTTTCACATTCATTTAAATTTAAATTTTGTGTCCTGATATTTATTATAACCTATCGTAACATTGTAGATCAATTTATTTTTAGATTTTGTATTGATTATTGAACTTATTACAAACAGGGCTGTACTAAACGGTATGAAGCTTTGACGTTTCCTAACTTTTTTGCATGTCTATTCACGTGGTGAGTGCGGTAAAAAAAATATTTTTGACGCAGAACTTTCCTCACACAGAGAGGCAGCCCCTGTCGGGGCAATCTTTATTTTATGCTCTTTAAGGGCGATGACGTCATAACATGACAACAGGAATTAAAAACTTCATTGGAAAACTTAAAGAGAAGGTTAAAATGTAGATATGATATGACGAAAATGACGTTCAGTACGGCCATATGAGCGTCAAAGTATGAACGGTCAGAATGACCGCTATGGTCGTTCTAGTAGTTATGGAATTCTGGTAGTTCTAGTGTTAAGGGCAGCAGTGTCAAAGTAAAAAAAGTACATTTATTCATGTACTGTTACACTTTGTTACTTCTACTTCATATGAATGTAATAAATCTATGAAGGGTCTGTATCAAGATTGTTTGTTTATGCATTTTTGTTATTTTTTGTTTGTGTTTCTTTGATAATACTATTTGCTTATATTTTGCAATCAGGTTTATGGATCTATTATATGTTTAATATTGTATGTGTAATAATAATGCAATAATACATACAATACATAACTCAAATGGTTATATGCATGACAAATACTTATTTTTGACAGGACACACAATTACTAGATAAAACTGGTTATTTTTACTTGTATTCTTGATGGAGAATACTACCACTTTGAAAGGACATCACAGTATTCCTACTTTTGATATTACAGTAAATTTTATTGCTAATACTTTTACTTAAGTCATTTTTACTTGTTTACTTTCTTGCATCTTTTAATTATGTACAATATCTCAATATTTCTTGCTGCTGTAGGGTTGTGATTGTGATCTGTGATTCTGAGTGTAAGGGCATTGTGGGTCATTGTGTTTCTGGAAGGAAAATAAATATGTGCAGCGGTTCTTTTTTTGAGACTTTTGAGTCACACACCACACAGACACACAAAGACACACATAGCTTTTGCCCTCTAGCTTTTTATGGTAGTTCTGTTCCTTTCATGGCTCTCGGCCTGCAATGCTTCACTGATTAAAAGGCACCCAGATGACTGTATGAGAAGCTGTGAGTGTGTGTGTGTTTATTGCTGCAGTGGATAAATGTTGCCCAGGCCTGCTCTGTATTTTGTGCTCACTGCTCTGACTGTGAAAAAGTACTGAGACCTGCTGGGACATCATCAATATACTGTGGACATTTTCACTGTGCTGTTGTGTGGAAGTGAACAACAGTCTGGTAATTACATGATGGTAGTTCATCTGCTGAATTTGAAAGAGGCATATGGAGCGAGGGGAAGAGGCAATAACTTTCTCCAGCAAGTATAACAAATGCAATACAGAACAAATGTCAATATTTTGATTATAGTTGAATGCCATAAACATATAAACCTTCAAGACTGAAGTTGAATGAATGCATCAGTGATTCCTCCATCAACACAGACTCTGAGTCTCTGTTGTCCTTGCAGTTCCAGGGTTAATGGCAGAAACATTCAGCTTGATGAAGATATTAGTACACTGCCTTAGAAGATTAGGGTTGGGTACTGAAACACTCTACCATATAGGACCGGTTCTAATATGACCGGACTGAATCACAACACAGATGTCAGTGCCTCGTATTGGTTTATGTCACAGGCAACAAAGGCATCACCATACATGTGACAACACACACAGTACAGCAACACTATCTCTACATGCTCTTAACAGCATGTAGCTTACCCATAGATTGTGTCCTCCTTAAACACAGTTCAAATGCAGAGCTAAACGGTCTAAAATGTGGCTGTAATTCACTTGAAAGGTTTCCAGCACCAGGCGGGACGTGCAACAAATGTTTCAAAACAAGTGTGTGTAAAGGGATGAACCATATGGTGATGCATGGAATACGTGTGTGTGTGACCCCCTTGCCAAGCACATCAGTCGGCAGTGTGGATGTCCCTGGCCCCTGGTCATGGGGTGCATAGATCTGAATTGTCGATGTGACGTGTAACTGTTAGAGTTAAATTACTGTAGTTGGCTTGGGCTTTATTTTTTATGTTAACTTGTTTTGTTGCCATTTTAAAAGTATTGTACAGTATTAGAAAAATCCAAAGTGGCAGCCCTAATAGCATTCCAGGTGTGCTGGTTGGTACACTGCGTATTGGCTTACTGGCAGAGCTAAATGGAATGGAGCCATCATTAGTGTTACAAGTTACAACTGTACTTTTCCTACTGTGACAAGTCACAATGCCAGTTGACAAGATTTTGTTGTTGTTACACATACAGTGTAAAGCGTTTTGGCTCATGTAATACAGTGGAATAGTGGAACACAGTTTACTTCACAGAACATCATTGTAATATTGTAACATATGTGATATTGTATATGTTTTGTGTATATTATCTAGATGATCAAATTCAGGAAATATATCAACATCATGATATTCATTATCGTATCATTAATTAATTACAGCCAACATACTATATTTAAACAGAACTGATAGTATACATGTGTCAAGACTAGAGTTGAACAATTCCAGGAATAGTCAGGGTGGAAACCTTTGATGGGAATTAACAGGAATTTATGAAAACCTATGGGAATTTATGGGAAATAACCTTAATGAAATAGAGCTATAGAGATGATTTACCATGGGATGTGTATATAGAAACATACCATTCACCATATCATAAAAAGACCTAATTGAAAAGGGCGGGACTCTCTCCTGGTGTAGAGCTTAGTCTCGATACCAGAATTTTAGTTGTTGATTCCAATCCAAGTGAAATTCCACAATTCTCTGTACCAAATTTGATCCCATGACAAAAAACAAAAGAACAAATCTCATGTACTACAACATACACTCCTTTGTTAAAACATTTGAACATGGCATGTAGTCTTAAAGTGATAAATAAAAAGAAACTACTCAGTATACTCTTTTCTGCTTGCCTGTTTGCTTTCTACTATAGTTAATTGTTTCATTTTCTTACCGACTATCTGCCAGTTGGCCTAAATGAGTCTCCTTTTTTTACACCATGTTTTATACCTTTCTTTGTCATCTGTGATGTGAAAACATCTGATTTTCTCTGTGTCTAGCTTCAGGTATAAAATCCCAGCACACCACAAAGTGTCTCTCCTGCTGGGCAGGCAGACTGAAGCAGCATTGCCTACTGTTTCTCTCACAGTTTTGTGGTTTGTGGTTATTTTAAGACTTGGTGTGTATTGATATCAATGCAAAAATAGTCATTATTACAAAGGAGTCCTCCTCCTGCACGCTCTGTATGTGCAACCCCTCAACTAAACCAACTGCCACCTGGGAATGTGCAACTGGTAGTAGAACCAGAGGTAGACCCAGAACTCGCTGGAGTGATTATATGGATCACCCAGGAGGATCTGGAAGGTGTTGCTGCGGAGAGGGATGTCTGGAGTGCCTTTCTTGACCTGCTGGTAGTGACCAGACCCCAAATAAGCGGTATAGTGGCAATGTTAGTGTAGTATTTACTACAAACTAACTCTCAAAGGGACGGGGGTTGTGAAATCTGCTGTGGCCAAAGCACTGTGGGATTCTGAGGCGATATCGCTGTAACCATCTGCAGTCCATCTTGGTTAGATATTTGTCTGTGTGAAAGAGGAGGTATAGATGGAAATGGAGAAGAAGATGATTGTAGAGGCAGAAGTGGGCAACAGAAAAATGTATTACACTGCAGTGGATCAAAGGAAAGCAGAGAGTAGGGGAGCAGGGGTTTAGTAAAGCTGAGGGGGGGATGGGAGAGAAGAGGGGAAAGCATTAGGGATCAAAAGAAGGCTGAAAAGAGTGAGAGATCCTTGGAAATGGACCAGAGAAAGAAGAGTAGAGTGAGAAGTAAAGAGTCAGCACAGAGAGAGAAGTGCTGGCTGGTAGAAGAGAACTGCAGCTTTAGAAACAAGACGTTTGTCACAACATTCATGTCACAATTTTTTTGTGTTAACGTATCTTATGTATTTGTGTTTATGTAAGCCTAGGTATGCCGAAGTGTTCCCTTGTGCTTAATTAATACCTCTCAGGCAATTTGACCTAATGATTCAGATTAAGATGAAACCAAAAACTAGCCTGCTTTGTGGACTGGAACACTGGAAATAAGGTACAACACATGCACTTAATCAAGTTGAATTTAGCATTTAAATCTTATATAACTGAGCTGCAATGATTAGTCAATAAATTGATTAGTTGATTGACATAAAATTAATTGGCAACTATTTTGATAATAGAATAATATTTTTTATCATTATTTCTTAAAAAAAATAAAATTAAATAACAAACATTTGCAGTTTCCCGCTTCTCAGCTGTGAGGATTTAATGGCTTCCCTTGTTATACAGGAGAGAAAATGTAATATCTGTGGGATTTAGACTGTTGGTGAGACAACAAAACATTTCCAGACGTCAAGAAGTCAAATAATTTATAAAGTGATCCTGATTCCTGGTTTTCACTAACACTTCATTAACACTAATACCTGTCAGTGGTGGTGGCACTGCTTCACTGTTACGCAAGCGTCTATAAGCCGTTCAAGTTCAGGCAGAGAAACAGGCAAGGAGGGAAACTGTCACTAAGCCTTTAGGGAAGCTGGGATCAATGTGGTCATCTTTAGCTTGTTGAGAACGCACAGGTAGTTCAAGTGATTGACTGACTTACTTCTGTCTGTCCTGTGAGATTTGTCTTTAACTTCACTGAAGAGAATAAACGTTTTGAAAGTGTTTGTGATCTGATTTTGCAAGACAGTCGACTACTTCGGCAAAAAAGCACCCCTGTCTTGTTGTGTGCCAGAAAGTACACTGCCTACCAAAGCAAACCTGGAATATGATGATGTGAGGTCAGCGGAGGATACCGATCGATGGTGTAATTCCACTAATGACTCAATATCAATGTGGTCATTTATTGATGTTGATAAAGGACTTTTAACGAAACCATTTACATAAACTGAATCTCTTCCAGCTTCAGAAATGATGCTTTGTCGCTGGGCCAGACTTTTGACCTGCGAAGGAAGCAAAGGGATGGGAGCATTTTCCTAAATGGATCAATAAAGCTTCACATTTCACTGTATCAACGAGTACATGGACATGAGTTTCACGCCAGGATATTCAGTGACACCTGTGCTGTGCTGTGTCTTTTCAAGGATCAAGGAAATGTATTTATTATATTATTATATTATACAACACAAGGTTGTACAATGAAATGAAGGTTTGCAGTCCCTTAATGCTACACACAGACGTAGAGATAATTAAATTTAGATTAGAATAATATGAAATAAAATAAAACAATATATACAGTGATATAATACATGTTAACCTCAGCAACAACATAGTGATGAAAATGTTTTTCACGTTCACATAAAACATTTGACAATTGAGAAACAGCGTCCATACGCTTTGACTGCATTTGAGCACCAAGCATCATCACAAATTAAACACACAGTCCACCTCCTTTCGTTCTGCACTGTCGGCTGTCTGCCGTCTGCCTGCGAGTGCTTGATCCCGGATGTTGATGTAGCAGGTCTTTGTAAAGATGTAGGCACAACAGTCTCTTATTTCCTGTTGTCTGTCCAGCATGAGTCCCATTTCGTTCAGACCGGACATTAGCCAGGAGCAGGGCCAGCATGGCTCCTGTCCCAGCTCTCTTCCTCTCCTCCTGGGGCAACAGCATCCGCTGTGTTGGGGCTGGTCTCAAGGTCCGCTTCTCTTGAATCCAAACCCCACGCTTCCCTTTCTGATGACTGTAGGCTATTTCTGTCGTGTTAAAGCAATAAAGATGAAAACAGATTCAAACCTAACAGAAAAGTTTGAGAGTCCTCATTGTCAAAATCTCCTGATACAGTCGATCTGAGCAATTTTGGCTTAGCCGTAAACCCACCCCCCAATCAGACATCATTCAATGATGTTTCGGCAAAGCCAGACAAAAATACATGCTTCAAGGTTAAAATAATCGCATTAAATAAGGAAATAGCATAGAGAGGCATCTTTTATTCTTTTTATCAGAGTGAAGAGAGGAGAAGCTGAAACTACTGATGACTACAGTATTTTGTATTGTCTCAAAGCAAATAGGAAATGGAAGTAGGAGCCTTACAACTTCTAAGGGACACAGACTGAAAGACATTTGTTAATATACCCAGGAGCTGGCCTGCCACATTTGACACACATCTGATGTAATCTTCTTTTAGGCATGCTAGCAGCATAGCTTTAGGGGTGGAAACATTGGTCTGTCTGTAGTTCAGTCCAGAGTGAAATAACTCAAGGGCTATTTGATGGATGGCCATGACATTTGGTATAGATAGTCATGGTCCCCAGACAATTATGACATAATTACTTCGGTGATCCCATGACTTTCCTCTACCGCCACCAGCTGGGCAAAATTACTTGTCCAAGCCTTTGTGACAGAACACCTCAAAAAATTATGGCCATATTCCTTTCATCCTTCAAGATTAATGCCAACATATAATTCTGATGTGCTAATATTATGCATGTTAACATCAGTATGTTGTCATTCAGCTTAGTATAGCTGAGGCTGACAGCTAAATAAATTGTGACAATGTTGAGCTGAGCCTGACAAGCTGAGGCTGAGATGTCTTAGAATGGCTACCGTACAGAGGACAAACTCTGTTGATTCATTGTCTGTTCCTCTGGTGCCCTCCTCAGATCAAGCTTATGAAAGTTTTTTCCTCCATCAACAACCTGATATGATAAAACAATATTGTGTTGTTGTATAGACCTATTACAGACAAGGAAATATAATAAAAAAGACAGATTTTTAGAAGTAACTTTTAGAAGTAGTAATTTTTGTATAAGGTGATATCTTTTAAATTGTGTATTTTTAACCTGCAGTTGTGTCTGGTTTGACAAACTTTTCTTGGCTGCTGTTGGTGGGAAATTTACACCCTGAATACCCTCTTTTCTCCCCTTCTTATCTGTCTAGATTTTTTGATATACTGTATCTTCCTGGTTAGACAAAGAATTACTGCTTAACAAACTGGGATTTGTTGTAGTTTGAGCTGTAGGCAGTGCTGTGAGACAAACCCAAAGTCCCAACAGACCTTCAAGGTTGTTCGGTTTCAGTATTCCTCCTTTTTAGCTCTCTCACTCTTTTTGTCAGGCTTTATTTGGCCCTGCTGTGAGATGGTGAATGTGTGCAACAAACAAAAGTTCTTTTCATTCAGTTAGCAGCACACACACGCACACACATACAAAAGACTGAGCGTGTAACTCAACAACCAGACAGTGCCACTGGTGCAGGAGGCAAGAGAGAAACAGAGACTGACTGAACAGAGGATACATGAAAAATGAGTTCACAGCGACAATGCTGAAGAATCATCATCACTGAAAGTGTGGGCAACCTAAATAAATAGGCAGCAAAATGTCATTACAGCATCAGAATAAAACCTCCTAGCCGGTTATTTTTGTTTGGATTTTTGCAGCTCAAAAGACGTCTAGACATCTACATTAAAACATAGCTGTTTTTTAGATTTGTTTAGATTAGTAAGAGTTTAAACAGCATTTAAATGACTTTTTCTTCTTTTGCAAACAAGAAAACAAGGGACACGTCTCACTGTATTTTGAAGATGGTAGAAAGTCCATATTATGGTATTGTAAAATTATGTTCTGTTTTTTAACATTTTAAATTTTACTTCAGGGTTATCTTCTGCATATGGATATTGTATTCTGAAAAACCCAGATGATATAACAATGATAGAACAGATCATTTATTATTTAATGCCCCACTCACATTCCCATACCTCCCAGTTACAGTGACACCAACACGTACGTCACATTTAACTTGATAGAAACCAAATTAGATCTAACAGTTATATGAAATAGAGGGGTAATACTGTGTAATATGAATATTATTATGTAACATGTATGTATGTAGAATTTGATTAATTTGTTTCTAAGCTGTTGTAGCTGAA